GTGGACCAATATATTTTTTAAGAACACGTCGAGAGGTTATAACAACCACATAACTGATCGAGTGAAATTCAGTGATTCTGAACTAGTTTCCGAAAGAACCAAGACACCGTAAGAAAATCCCTAGGCTGATCCAGAGGAATATTTTTTCACATAGGTACGACTCAGTTGAAATGGAACCACCCCTATAAATTCTCTATTTTTAACCAATCCCAATAATGTGTAATAATTAGGGAGAGTATTATTATTATTATTATTATAATTATGAGTAAGTTGCCAGCTTGATTTGTTTTATAGTTCAATTCATAATATTAGGTGTTATTTCTATAATGTTCTCTGAAATCTTTAGTTTTGCGTATATTCATGAAATGCTAGATAAATAATTCTCACCCTGCTGTTTAATCAATTAGTATATTATTTCTAAATTAATTTTATTTATATATTGTTGTACTCTTATTCTGTAATTGGGTCTTGACCTGTTGAGTAATGTAATAAATAAATAAATATAGTTTTTAAGTAACAGAGAATTTAAAATTTTGCTATATTCCAAATTTTATAATTTAAATCACTTTAATTGTTTTTCAAGATCAAAAACACTTTCAACAAAATTTGATTAAAAAAATTATTAGTATTGTACTACTAGGAATTTATTATTAAATTATTCTTATAAAAGCTGGTTTGGTTATAATGAAAACAAAATAAAACGCGATTTAATCTTTATTATGTTTGTTTAGTAGCTTATTCAAAAGGAATTCATTTCATTATCGCATGTCATGCAATATCTATGAAAGGATCTTTTAAAAGTCTACCTGCTCTATTGTCACAATATATATTAACATAATCAATAGATCTGCAGGTATTATTTAAATTTTTTTCTAACAACCTAAAAATTTAGATATTGGAAAATATATTTTAATAAATGTTTAAAATTTTTAGGTAAGTACCAAGTAAATGTAATAAAAAAATGTCTTGTGTCTAAAAATTTAGATATTAGAAAATGAATTTATATACACAGGTAATGTACTGAAAAATAGTAGTTTGTGTAATCCACTCTACAGTATGTTTTTTCTACGACCCACTAATTTTAGATTATTAAGACAAAATAACCAATATTAAAATAACATGAAAAAAAAAAGATTTAATTAAATTAGTCCCCAGCCCAGATTCGATCCCGGGCTTTTCGCGTGGAAGGTAGACGCTCTGTTCTTTCCTCCACCGCCACTTTTAGAATTCTAGTTTTAATACTCGTACTTAAATTAGTTTAATATAGTTTGATTAAAATTTTATTTTTTTTTAAATGTGGACCTAGTAAAAAATAAAAATGCTATAATTTATCGATTCTTCACAAAAATAACTCATTTTAATGTATTTTTAATCTCAATAACTGGTTTAACAGAATTTACACTTATTTAAAATTTTAAAAATAATTGTAGTTGGATATCCAAAATATGACTTTTTTTAATTTTTTTATTTTAAAATATTATTATTGGGGGTTAAGAATAATCTAAAAATGTGACAAATACACTGTATTAAATTTTAAACAAAAATTCTGAAGACCTCATTATATTAATGTAAAACACCCTGTATTATGACATGTTGTGTACAATGCAGAAAATTAAAATTAAAAAATAGACGCGTTCTAGATTTTTTAAAAAATGTTTTTAAGAAATAATAAATTTATTCCATACTTTAACGACTAAAAATAAATTAATAGGATGAAAAATGTAAAGAGTGTCACAAAAACTGTGAGCGATCATTTCCGCCTAGAAAACAACTACTGCTCTGGCTCTGTATAACGATATCCAGAGAAAAACAGCAAGTACACAAAAAATTTGTTTCACTCTAGTTTTGATGTTACTTATCTAGAAAATAATTCTTGGATCTATTTCGTCCTTACTGGGAGCAAGAAATTGAAATTCGCCTTTCCAATTCCATGCTGTAGAGGCGTGAAATTCACTAATATTATCATGTTGATTGAGTAAAAACAATAAAAAAAATAGCACCATTAACATTAGTAACCATTTTATCGAAAAATCGACAGGATTAAAAATAATTACCCAGGAACCTTTATTATTTTAGGAATAATGTTAGTATTACTGTGGTTTATTATTTTCAAATATCTAAGGCATTTTTTTACTGGGCTTGTCTGACATAGTCTTGAATAACACTGAAACCTAATGGCTTATTGTATTTAACCTAATGTTAAGTTCAAAGTACCTAATCTGTCACCGTTATCCCTTGTAATATTCCTGGTTCCTTGTTATAAAGCTGACACAATAGGTCTCCATTATACACGCTTATTTTGTTTAGGTGTCACATTACTGGGGCATGCCTGTAAAGGTTTTACCATGGGACATTCTCTCAATAGTTGATGTCGTTTCTCCAAACCCATTTTTTTTATGAAACCTCAAGCTATACTTTTTGGTACTCCGAGGTCTACGTCTTTTCATTGCCCTCGAACCCTTTGATGCTTTGGCATCCAAATCATTTTTTCTCCATTTTGATCTGCCAATGATTTGATACAATTCCATATCTACAACTCAAATGCGTGATTTTAAATTAATAAAAGTGGGAGTGGTGATTTGAATTTTACCATGGTCTGTAATGAGCTGAATCTCCTAAATACAAATCCCTTTCCTGACGAGGATAATTCTCAATTCTTCACGTGGTTCTCGTTGAGTGATAACAATTTTCAAAATTAAAGACGTTACCAGTTTCCATAAAAAAATTTTGAATACATTCGCTGCCGAGGACACGCAACGCGAATACGCGTTCTAAACAATGAAAGCTTCTAATCGCTGTAACTTATCCAGCACTGGAAGTAGGTATTTACTACCTGAGAGTGAGAGAGCCGTTTTCAGTACGAGGGTTATATTGTTAGTTTTGACGTCATAGTACTATGGAAGATAGTGAACCGAGTTGTTCCCGTTCGAAATGGCAAAAATATATAGTTAAACATAAACCCAAATTAAATGAAGCAGATTTAGAATATGTTTTAACTCATTGAATGCTTTTTTTGTTATTTAGTCAAAATTTGTTTTTGTTTTCTATTATATATAAAATTGTTTTTTTATTGTATGTGAAGTCTTTTTTAGACAAGAAGGGCCAGACGCGAATTCGCGTTCTTTAGCATATGTACTGAATATTGTTACTGTATGCTGAAGATGCGAATTCGTATCTTTTATGTCAGGGCAGTGACATAATCTTAAATACATCCTAACATCGTATGTCAGTGCCTCTATTAATTTAGACAAAAACCATTATCAGCAACCTGCCTAACCCTATTTCAAAATACAAACAAGATTAAAAATGCCCAACGGTACATTGATACATTCATTTTTACGTACTTTTTAAAATAGTAATAAAATAAATAAAATATAAGGCTAGCCATTACCCGCGAGTAGAATACTATACTTTTTCTATGACCATTTAACAAAATAACACCGATAGCGCTATCATTTTTACAACTGGAGCGACAAAGTTAAGATGATGGTTGACATATGTAGCCAACAGTGTTGCCAGACAGGTTTCGTGTTGAATTTTCTGATTAGTTTTTAGAAAGTTAAGTAATGGCATTAGATTTTTCATTGATTGAAAATAATTGAGTATGAGTATGAGTAACCACTTACATTAATCATTATAGACCGTCTGATAGTGACAGGTGTAGGTGCCCCATTTTCGTATACAAGCCTCGAAGAGGGTTGAAAAGTACATCGAATTTAATTAGAATGAAAGAAAACATACGAGTGGCTCCTGGCCATAACACATGGAAAATTCGATTTTCTCTAACAAAAATAAAAGGTTATTTGGTGCCCATATTTCTACGCAAGCCGTGTTCACTATATGATTAATTAATAGAACTAGACTTCGCAAAACCAAAGGCTTTAATGTTGCAAGTGGCTAAAGGGTTGAAATAAGGGAGTAATCTTCTAGGGATTTTTCCAAACAAGCCCATCGAATGTATGAAAACGTACATTGTCACTAGTCCGAGAAACATATTATCTTGAGTAACCCGAATGTATAAGTGCATTTAGGGGTCAGAAAATTTTTCTGATAAGGAAAATCGAATTTTCCATGTGTTATCCCCAAGAACCACTCATAAATTTTCTTTTATTCTACTCAACATCGATGTATTTTTTAACCATCTTCGAGGCTTGTATGCGAAAATGGGTCACCTAAATCGGTCACTATCTGACGGTCTAATAGAAAGCGGATGAATAATATGTATAATGTTAAATATTCATCGAAAACAAATTAAAAGGTTCACGACATATGTTGATATAAACTTTTCTTCTTAAAACCACTCAAAGATTCACAGTATCGGCACTCAATTAATAAACACCCTGCATAGTCACCTTAATATAATAACAAATAAAAAAGTGACAGACACGAGAAATAATTTAGGGAAGTTTTTTAATTATTTTTTTTTTTTCAAAAATCAACGACGCTTACTTTTCTATCTAGTTTACCCATTCATAAGCATCAAAACTCGATTTGGTAGCATTCCCAATGATGAGTAAATCATATCGTCTCAATCTTCAGCTCCTTAGCCATTATATGGGATAGTTATTAATAACAAGCAGATCTTCAAGCTGATTTTGTTAACATTCTTCCTATTTAATAATTTTTAAACTTTTTTAATTTTTCTAGAATGAATGGAAGAGCAGATTCTATGGAAAATTTTAAAGAATCTTTCCCAGAACGTTTTGACTGTTATTATTATTGTATATGAATTATAGTTCCTTATTTTAACTTTCAATTAAAACCTTTATTATTGATTTGTGTCAAAAGGACAAACAAACTTGGCGTATATTTGGATTTCGCTGAAAAGTACTTTTCCAACCTATAATGCATTGCGGTACGTTTTTGATTCAACTTTGTCTAATCAAATAAATGCTAAATCAAATAGATACATAATATATTAAAATCAATAAAACGTATCATCCAGATACAATATACAATTTAAAACTTTTACAAAAAAAGATAATATAAATAAAATTTATTTGCAGACGGAAATAATATATTATTAAATGGGATAAAATTGCATGCGGAAATATAAAATTAAAACCGTTCACAAAAATGGTGAATAAAAAGCAAAAATCAAAATAAAAAATCACAGTTTCTTCGGATTGAAATCGTATTCAAATCTGGTGGGTAGCCGTGGATATGAAGCCCCTTCGCATTCAAACATCACTTTGATGTGCGTCGGTCCTTGAGTTCTGTGTTTATTTCTCAATTTTTGCAGATCGATGTCGTTCATATTTTTCAAAAAATTTAATGGCGCGTAAGATAGGGGACACTTTACTTCGACGTTCATTTTAAAGCCGAGGTAGGGAATTCTGTATAGCACGTTTTCGCTGGAATTGTTTCTCGGTGCAATGTCTTCGCCGATATCTTCTAGGGCCAACATTTCGTCAAGTTCTTCCTCTTCTTCGTTGTCTTCGTCTTGGTTGAATTTTTGCGCGTAAGCACCTAAAAAGAATTATTAATTTAGGTTCGCAGGCAACAAAATAGTATGACACTATTGCATAATCGAGCCTTTAAAGCATAAGCAACGAGTTTAAGGTCACGACCATAGATATGAAGAGGGTGAGATAGGAAAATGGCTGCCCGAGTGGCAAGGAAAAACGTTTACGATAGCGCAAATGTCCAGGTAGATTTGAGTCTGCGCATTAGTTAGAATATTGTGACATTTAACATTTAGTTGTCTTGTGATTGTCGTTATTACTGAGGCCCTTCCTATAGGGCCTCATTATTGCATTCGTGCAGACGAAAAAATTTTCTGACCCCCATTTTTTAAAATTTTTTTTCATGTTTCTGATCATTCTGAATCCGAAAATAAAAAAAAAAAAAATTCGTCTGGTGGTCTGTATGTATGTTTGCCGGCACGATAACTCTAGAACGAAAGTTCTGATTGACTTGCGGTTTTGATTTTCTTGAATAATTACTTCTAACTTAGAACCCTATTGATTTTCAAAATTTTCGGTTCGTCCTAACTACTTTAATAACAATTTTCTTAAAATCTGCCTATGCATTCCTTATGTGATTATTTTAGGAATTTCAATTATTTTTAACGTCAAAATTCCTAACATTCTTCACATTCCATAAATTACCAACATTCTCTAACGACCTGTCAAACAACAGCTGTTGATAGTATAGGTGAAATTTCTAAGGCGGGTTGCGACCTTCATACTTGCAACCATATAGCCATTTTGAAGGCTATTTTCATTCGAAATTAGTCGCCAAGCCTGCCAATTTATTAAAAATATATAAGCAGTTTCTTAAAAATGACTTTTTATGGTGGTGCTATTAAGCGTACTACTATTTCGCCCCTAGCCACAAAAACGCCTTCATCAAATTTACTGGTTCTCTGTCGCAACCGGCTATTTTATTTGGCAAAAATAAAAATAATGCTTGGCTGTGCCTGTCAAGTATCAAGATGTCAACTGTGATAAGTGAATGGATCTTAAATGTCAAATTATTTAAAAATGTATACTTCTTTTGATACTGCAAATAATAAATATCTCAATTCAGGCTTTTTATAAATAAAGGTACAGCAAGACAGATAATATAATGTTCTTATATGTATAAAGCACTTTTTTATTATATAAAAGAGAGGTAGGATATAATGCCCATTTCAAATTTGGATCATTTATGATACCGAGGTATTTTGTTGTGTTTTTCATTTTAATTATAAAGTTGTCATTTATTTCGTCGTTGTTTTGGCTATTGGTCGTATCTCAAATTTACAATAATATCCAGGAGGCCCTTAATAAGATTTTTCGTGAAATTAATTTTAAAGTAAGTTGATTTGTTTTCTCTGATTTTCTGTTGTACTTTGATCACTCTGGGAGCTATGTATATTGCAGTTTATGTTGTTCGATATTAAAAATGTTTTTTTTTTCAAGTTTGTTGGAGTTACGACCAATATCCATAAAAAAATATGCCATATTATTAATTACAACTCACAGCCAGAAAAAAGGCATTATTAGTTTAACTACATTTTTTATTTCAACATTTATTAGTAGTTAGCAATAATAAAAACTATTTAATTAACGATATAATACAACAAAATATAATTCAATGTATTATGTTTAACAAAATCAACAATTAGTTTTCATGACTCAAATTTTGGTAAAATATTTTGTGTTCTATATTTCTTGTAACCGGCATATCTGATGTACAAAATGAATTTAAATCCCTATATTTTTATGCACATATTTTATTTGGACTAGAATTGAGAGGTGTTCAAGCGACATTTTGCAAACAGATATTTCTTTTTAAAGTTAAAGATCTGTATGTGTCGGTATTATGGCAACTTTTGAAGTAAACTTTATGAAAATTTTGTTTTGAAATTTTTACTTCTTTTATTTTTGTCCAATTAACTTTTTCTTTCTGATCATCAATCCTTATGTTTAGTAATCTAATCTCCTGTGATAATTTCCTAAAAGTTTTAAACTCAAAATAGTTAGGCTGGGTCACATTATATGGGTGTTTTCTTTTGCGAGGCGAATTGTGGGTATGAGTTGAGACGGCATGAAAATTTCTTCACATTTTCTTAAGGCATAAGATATCGCACTGTGAGCAGAATCCCCTTTATTCTGTCCATGATATGGTTCGAAAAATCTTAAGAATATCTCGTCTATAAAACTCCCAGGCCAGATATTTTGGTAAGTAATAGAGATATTTTAATTCTGTAATAGCCAGATCATAGAGCGCTAAGAGAGCTTCAATTTTAGATATAAATTAATTTTAAATAGGTCAATATGTAGATGGCGCTGCGCTCAATATTATTTTTTTAATAAAAGAATCTTTCTTATATAGCGCATCTTGTAAAAAATGCATTTTTCAGCAGATTTTGCTCTATAAACAAATTCGATAAGTCTAGCCATTTTTGAGTGGGTCACTCAAAACAGTTTTATTCTGTTTTTCGGCATTATTCATTGGATTTTAAGAAAATGCTTAAACAGGTCGATTTTAATTCAAAATTGAACACATTTTCACAATGCAGACATATGTCATGTGTCCACCCCCTCCCTTCCATTTCTCCAACCCCTTAATTTTAAATGAATGTACCATGTACATGAAAGTCAGATTGGTTTCTTGTATTATAGTTGTGATATTGCGAATTATATTGAATTTTTTTCTAATAAATCTGATGCGATGGTACTATGTCATTTTTATTTTATAAATAAATATGTCATGTACTGAACATAATTCTGAACTGAAAGCAAATTTATTTCTTTTAACATAGTTACAATACTCATCCTTCTATCGTTTATTAATAGAATATAAATAGGCGAAGTAAGAAACCCAAATATTTTACATGAGCAGGCTTAAGAGGTAAAGGAACCAATTATTATTGGATAAATTGCTCGAAGAAGTTTTTAAACCCTAATCAAAAGGCGATATAGAATGGTTTTAAAAATCAAGGCTTGTGAAAATCATCACATGGTTTAACCTAAGTAATGCCAATGCTTCACAAACCAAAAAATTCAACGTGCTAATACTACTATCGGCTTTCGGTATTTCGTTCCAAGTTAAATCATTTTTTGTTTTTGTTGCGCTACTAGTTTACCCTTGTGGGCCTCAGTCTCGATAAGGTGGGAACCACCATTTTAGTGTCTCTAGAATTTTAAGCAATTTTTGTGAATAGAATAGAGTTTTGTAAAATCATGTCTGATCAAGTCAAAATATTCCGAAATGTTAGAGAGAAGTTGGGAACAGACTTTTTTACTGTTTACAGTACAATGGACAACATTTTAAACAGTTTTTAAAATAGTGTACAAATGGATCCTATGTGTTTTATTTTTAAAATTTCTTGTTCAAATTAAATGTTATTTATTTTGTAAAAGTCACCTAACGTAAAAAATAAAAAGTTAAACGTGTAGACTTGATATTCCTCCTATTATTCAACTCGATAGAATAATTTTTGTTTAATAAATAACTAATAAATTAGGGTACCATTGGAAAGAGAATTAAACGCCCTTTAAAATTTTAAGGGTAACTACTACCTTTCCTAATAGGTTGAGCCACGAGTGTTAAAAGTATTCATTGTAGGTGTCCTCCTTGAAAATAAAACTGACGGGCTTTTGCGATTTTTCACATTATTTAATGGAAGAAAGATATTTAGTTTGGGAAGTTTTTGGTGTCACCCTGTATGTACATAAGCACTTACAAAGAAAAAAAATTATACAAAAATTTAAATAGTTCCTGAAGGGTCTTTTAATTAAAGACTACTCGTTATATGAAATTATAAATTATTTTTAAGCTTTCAATATATTTTTACGTACCTATATGTGAGCATTGTATTTTATTTATCTATGATATGATGAATGTCTTTTTTAATGACTATGTTGTATTCAACTAACCTTATAAAATTTAGTTAGTTATCAATATAAAACTAATTTTGTAACCTGTCTCATGTCATCGTAAGATGATCTAAAGAGTATAATATATATTTATGTATAAGTTGTCCCTTAACGCCTACGCAAATAATTAGCAGTCCCTCGCCACACTAGCTATACTTAAATTATCTCAACTAATACACAATCTGGTTTAATTATTTATTCCTCCTTTTAAAAAAGTATTAGTAATTTGCATTTAATTATATGTATATTTTTATTGAATTAGTAAAACATTGAGTACAATCCTGAAATCACTCAACTGCGCAGACACTCCACTCCTTGTGTAAACGTTTTCTGAAATGACAGTTCCTATCTCCCCTCCCACTCCACTCCGCTTTGCGTCGTGGCCTTAGCGTTGCGAATGCTTTAAATGCGATTATGCATTGTATCATACGATATTTTTTAGTATAAATGCGTAATTAGAATAGTAATAGTGGTAATAACTGCAATCATTTTAATTGAAAATGCAAATTAATAATTTCCATGCATTTTATCGAGTGGGTAGGTAAATTTCATTTGACATTTCGTTTAATTATTAAACGTCATTGTTATACGTATTGAAAATGTCGACGGAAATTGAAGAATTTGCGGCTGAAGTCGAGTTAAATTAAATACCTGTGAAATTAAAGCATTTATACTACAAGGAATATGAAAAGTTAGTATTATGGATGGACTACGTTCAAAATATAGAGAATCGGTAATAGTGTATATGTTGAAAATGTCTAGAATTTGCAAATCTTGGTCACTTTGGCGTATTCATTCAAAACTGCAAGCTATGCTAAGGGTTAAAAAATGGAATAGATTTAGCATCTTATCACAAGTTGCATTCGTTTATGAAAGGATCGAGCAAAAGTTAAGAAGTTAAAAATCTTTAGTTTTTACCAAAGAATATTTACGTAATTTTATAATTCAGGCTTCAGACAATACGTTTTTATTTTTTTCCGTTCATGATACTTATTTTTAGGTAAAGTTGTAAACAATTTGATTAATTTTACAGTTCAAAATAAAATCAACATAATCTAATCTTATTTATTGAAGCGGTTACCTAAACAACCTTTATATGCACGGCGTGCGATAAAGACGCACGCTTTTGGGTTTTTTTAAGATGGTTTATAATACATGAATACTAAAAAAAATAATTATTAAACAAAATTACCATCGTTCATGACTCCATAATAAAAAAAAGTATCTCCAATATCGCCATAGCCTGTATATACATTATTGCCAGGTTTTTTTATTCTACCAATAATGGGATCAGGCCTTAGCATAACTTCTCTATCGTATTGATATTGCTGAAGAAACATATCGTTATGAGCGAGTACTATCCTCCTAAGGCGCATGTGCATCATTCTTTGTTTTTGACTCCATTCCATTTCTTTGGTCATTTTTACTGGAAGTGCGACAAACCAAGAATTCCTGAAGACGTAGCTGTACTGAAACGTAAAGTAAATAAATAATATTATAGAGGAAAGTCGGCTAAATTGTACCATTTTAAAGACAACGATACCTTAAGCGCCATCTTTTATTGCCACCAGGTACTTTTATGTATTTGAAGGTTAGTAGTTAAAGAGAGTGTCGTTCCGCAATGATTTCGAAGAGCAAAGAGTGATTAAATAATTTATACCTATTTCAAGTAAGTTCCGACTACATTTTCTTAAGGTTTAAAACAAAATCTATGATATTTAGGACGATTTGATTAATATAAGTCTAAAATTTAAAATATAACCTCAAAAACTTAACGAACTGTGAATAAAAGTTTCCAATTTTGTCTAGTTGCCTAATGTGGACCACTAAGATGTTTCTTAATTTGTACCGGTACAATTTAAACGACTAATGCATGGTTTTTTTTAGAATGCCACCTCTTAGAAAACTAAAAGGAAAATATTATCAGTGGTCAGAGGAAAATATGAAAGAAGCTATTGCGAAATATAAAACTGGAAAATATGGTGTAAATGAAATATGTACCATGTACGAAGTTCCTAAGCCTACTTTCAAGAGACATCTAGCAGCAACAAATAAAAGGGCTTTAAACGGTAAAAAAATATTAGGTAAGTCTACAGTTTTCTCTGTTGAGGTGGAAGCAGAACTGCAAAAACATATTCTTGCTTTAGAGGAAGTATTCTTTGGTCTTACCATTAAGGAAACCAGAAGAGCAGCATTTCAATTCGTAGAAAAAAATTCTATAAAACATAATTTTAGTAATAGAATGGTTATGGCTGGGAAGAAGTGGTACTACAATTTTATGAAACGCCACCCAACCCTTTCATTAAGGCAACCAGAATCAACATCATTAACACGTTGCAGAGGATTTAACAAAAAAAATGTTACAGGATGAAAATAAATTAGATGCCACAAAAATATATAATGTAGACGAGTCAGGATTCTCGACAGTCCAAAAAAATAATCAAAAATTTTTAGCCGAAAAGGGCAAACATCAAGTTGGTACTATTGCCAGTAGAGAAAGAGGTGTCAACACTACGATGGTTGTTTGCGCAAGTGCCTCAGGTTAATTTGTCGCACCAATGATTACATTTAAGAGAAAACGAATGTTAGCAGAACTGACCATTGGAGTACCACCTGACTGTTTGGTGGAGATATCAGACACAGGTTACATTAACTCTGAGCTATTTGTTACTTGGTTAAAAAAATTATTGAAGTAGTTAAGCCTACAAAGGAAAATAAAGTTCTTTTGGTATTGGACGGTCATACTACCCATTCTAAAAATAATGATGCTATAGTTTTAGTCCGTGACAATGGTCTAATTATTTTACAATTACCAGGCCACACGACCCATCGGCTTCAACCCCTAGATGTTTTGGTTTACAAGCCTTTAGAAACATACTATAACCAAGCCTTTGAAAAGTGGTTAAGACAGCATGCTGGAATGGGAGTTACGCAAGTTCATGTTGCTTCTCTTCTTAATAAAGCTTATGGCAAAGCTGCTGCTATAGTAAATGCTACGAACGGTTTTCGCAAATGTGGGATATGGCCTTCAGAACTATTGACTGATAAAGAAAATATTTCAATTGAGACGATGCCAATCGAAATTTTGGAAGAAAATTCCAATATTAGAGAACCACCACAAATTCAAGTTTTGGTAGATGTTCACAGGGCATATGACGACGTTATCACTGAAAAAAATCGATACACAGGCAACCAAAAATTTAAATGTGTCAATTGTAGCTATTCTCCCTTTACCTGATGTTAGTGAAGCTAAAAAACAGAAAATGGGTAAGGGCGCACAGACGGCTGAAATTATTACATCCACTCCCTTTAAAGAGCAACTGGAAGTAAAACAAAATGCCGTAGAAGAGAAGAAAAAAGCTGTTAAATAAAATTTTGGGGTTGAGATGTCACAGAAACCAGCAAGAGGAAAATAAATTTCGAAAGGAAAAAAGAGGCTGAATGAGAAAGAATATCTTTACCTCCAACTATAAGTTGTTGTAGAAGGTGGGAGGTGAGTGGAAGTTTAATGACAAATGATGAATTTTGGACAGGGTGCCATGGCCGACGGCCGACAGGGAAGGCTAACAAAACAATATTGTGAATTTATTGATTTGTGTTTTCAATATGTTTAATCCATCTAGTTTTTTTTTTCTATTATAAATGTGTTATTTTCCTGGAAGTGTACCAGATGAGTTGTCTTCAAATTACTTTAAACATTGAATGTGTTGATAAAATTAATTAGTTACACCTGAAATGCCTGTTGTGGCAGTAGTTGTTTCCAGGGGGAAACGGTCGCTCAACTTTGTTGTGACATGAACTTTGAAATTTTCTCTTTTTCGTTGTTTTTTAATTAAATAATAGTTTATGAAATATCGCCCAAATTTATTTTACCTACATTCATTATAATGACGTTTCTGTCTTTAACTTGTGTTTAACTTTTTGGGCAAATTTAAAGATCCATTTTGAATAAGACTATTTGTAAATTAGTTTATTATTTTATTTTCAACAAATTTTAATAGTTAAAAGTCATTATTTTTTATTTCTATAGGTAACTAAAAATTAAATTGCATTGGCACCAAAAATATTTTCAAAATATAAAAAAATGCTTAGTTTATAATATCTCATTTAGAAGTTCTTGTATAGTTCCTTAAATCAAATTTATCTTCTTCTTCCTCCGTTTCAGACGCACTGGTCTCATCATCCAAAGCTTCATAACCACTTGTGTCTTGTTTTAATTTTTTCCTTTTTATTCTCCAAACGCACACGACAATATAACCAAACCTTATAATAAATCCAACGGCTGTTAGCATCAAACCAATGACAAGGGCGTACAATAAAGTATCTATTGAAGAATATTCGGTCGGATCTTCATTTTTAATTACAGGAATAAATGTTGGACCCATAGGAGCTTCAGTAGTAGGATTAGACGATGAGACCAAATCTTTAAACCCATGTTCAAGAGATCTATTTAAATCTAACGACAATTCATGGAAGACTGTTCTTCCCAGCCAATCAGCCAAATCGTATTTTCCCATTTGCCTTAACCTGTGCTCCAATATCTCGTGAGTTTCTCCTTTTCCTTCATTTGGAGCCGAGTTCCAGTGATGAAGTAGTTGTATGCAAGTCAGATCTTTGGATATTTTCCTTTCAGCTTGGTCTAGAGAGTTGGGTTGTTCCCAGGTTTTATAGTGAGCGGCGGCTACAAGCCGTCTGCATTCTTCTACCGTCAAATGATCGGCGATGTATTGTAGTTCCGGAGCATTAAGGTCGATTGTTGTTGATGAAAATTGTGTAAGTGTTGATAATATTAGTGAAGTTAACAATATTGTCATTTTGACGGTTACAAAGTGACATCTTATATGGCAGAATTAATTATACGTACAGTGTGGTCATCAGAAATAGTTATATCCTTTATGTTACAAGTTACAAGGTTGACAAAATTGTGATTATTTAGAATTAGGCATTCCAACGACCTGTCCAAATGGCTACCAGTGGGTACTGACAGTTTAGATATGGCAACCCTGTTGTCATGTTGTCATTAACAGGGTCAATGATACATAATGTTATATACATTGCTCAAAGCTGGTCGTTTGCGAGCAGCCATATTGCCTGGCAAATATTTATTAATTTGAATCAGTTTAGCAAAAATGTGTTTTAAAACCAATTTTAAGACTTTAGATATTTAAAAAATAATAATTGCTTATATTTTTACTTCAAGGCATAAGCTTATGTTTATTTTAAAAAATAGGGATGATCAATCTATGTAACTATCTATTTCACTCACCTTGTTAAATCACCAGGCCTACAGAGTTGCCATAACTTTGCCACATCATAACCTGTCAAAACCCACTGGTAGTCATTCAGTTTGGAATGCCTAATATAGTAGAAATGACATAAACATATGATAGATGAGTCACTTCGAGTGACGGGAAAATGGGTGACGGTAAACAATTAGGCATTCCAACGACCTGTCAAACAATAGGTGCCAGTGGGAAATTCTTGTATATTTAAGGGGGTAGCGACATAGTCTTGCAACTTCGAAGAAGTACTCGCCAAGCCTGCCAATTTATGAAAAAATGTATAGGTGGGTTTTTTAAATATTATTTTTATTGTGTTTGACATAAAATATTTAAATGTAATCCATTATTCATGATTTTACGTAAAGTAGATAGAATACACCATATGTCGCCACCCTTAGATATACCAAACCTGCCCACTGGTAATTCATTTGTTTGGAATGCCTAATACGGACACAAAAATTTTCACTATTTTCGCTATATCCTTAATGCAAATGATACTACTTACTATATTTGATCAATTTAACTGCGGCAAAACCAAAATAACCAAAGTTAATATAAAAATATTGTGTATTAATCAGAAAATAAACCATTTATTTATATAACCTCAATTTTTTTAAAAAAACCTCTATTATTATCTATGGACATGTTACTAATTTTTTAATTGCCTGTTATTGATAAAATATCGGACAATCGATAACACTATCGATGGTAACGTACGGCAATTGAGTGTCAATTCCATAAAAATTATTAATTTATTTCGTTTCCAGAAAAACTCTTTTACATTTAATTTTCAACCATATCCGGCGATTTATACATTAATTTTGATTGAATTGTAGAACATATTGACTAAATATTAATATTACATCATCTCTAAAATACTTTTCAAAAACTTTTAAACTTATTTACTTTGTGTAATTCAAGTTTTTAAACTTTTTTTGAAATATGAAATTTATCTTATTGTGCATTGTCAACCAATGCCTTTAACAATTAAAGAGGATAGCTGAATTTCTGCTGAGTCAACCGTAACGTGACGTCACCCCTGGATGCTTTCAACGGTTTAGTCGATATAATACACCTGTTTTTTATTCTATTTATTTTTAAACTAAAAGGTATTTCAGATATTCAAAACATCATTTTAACCAGAGAAAAAATTACAAACATCCCAAAATTACAGGAGTAAGTAATATAGGTAATAAATTTGAATACTCTGCCGCCATGTTATCTAAAAATATTTCTCAAATAACACATATTTGAGAAATTTGACATGCTAGTTATTAGGCATTCCGACGACTTGTCAAACTGCTGAGAAGTGGGTACTGACATTTAGATATGGCAACCCTGTTAGCTTGTTGACATTGACAGGGTCAATGATACACATATAGTTATGTAGATTGCTCAAAGCTGATCGTTTGCAAGCAGCCATATTGCCTCGCAAGTACTCATTAATCAGAATCGATTTTGCAAAAATGTGTTTACAAACCAATATTTAGCCGTTGAATATAGTAAAAAACAATTACTTACATTTTTACTTCAAGGCATAGGCTTATGTTTATTTAAAAAAATATGGATGATCAATCTATGTAACTATCTATTTCATTGACCTTGTCAAATCACCAGGCCATTGAGATAGAATAAAGAGGAGATGCTATGACGATGCTAAATTGTCCGCACTTTTGTATTACATTTTTACGTCAATGTCAAATTCGAGATAATGTAGCTGGTCAGTTTTGGTGAGAATAAATGCCATTTTTCTTTAAATAGTTTCATATAATAATAGAAAATTATTTTCATTTAGTCAGTCTTTAAATATAAAATTATTGACTTCAAATAAATCAAAGTACGACTCAAGTCGCCATTTTGATTACACTTTTCTGTCACTTAAAGTGAGTCCATTTTGTTATATCGCAAAATAGTGTTCATGTTGTCTCTGCTTTATACTATCTCGATGCACCAGGCCTACAGGGTTGCCATAATTTTGTTATGTCACAACCTGTCAAAACCCACTGGTAACCATTTTGTTTGGAATGCCTAATAAGATAGTTAGAAGTCGAAATTTATATACAAAGTGTACAAAAGTTAATACTAATACTAATAAAATTAAATTTTTGATAGGTTCACAAAAAAGTTTTGAATTAAAGTTTTATGAAATTATTTAAGTTATCAGTATAAGTTAATAGGAGATGTACTGGGTTGGCTATTATTCCAAAATCAAGCAAAAATATAATAATAATAATAATAATAATAATAATAATAATAATAATAATAATAATAATAATATTGCTTTATTTGGATTACACCAAATTACAATCATAATTACAATATATATATACAGTGAGCATCTTAAGTCTTACCCCCCCTAACTAACTCGTTACTGGGGTCTTGTTAGGAAAATCGCCGAGACAGGTCGATTTTTGATTTCTACAATGTACATTTTTGAATGATTAGTTTACCCTTAATTTCATCCCTTACTGCAGGGTAGCAACCCTTTCGAAAAATTTAAATAGCATGGGGTGGTGAGTGATAGCTCATTTGAAAGAGGGTTTTATTCTCTATTCAGCCGTGTAAAAAAATTTGAAATTTATAAAAATCCAGTGTTGTCAGATTGCTAAACTAGTTTATCTAATCCGTAGCCGGTGCATAGAAAGTAACCACTAGTCATTTAAACGAGATTTACAAATTTGAATTAAATTTTAAAACAGTGTATATGGGCGTTACTATCCCTGAAAGGTACTACTTACTTCAGCCACAAAGTAATTTTTACATGCCACTTCTGATACAACAAACTTTTGACTATATTTGGCGCAATCCACTATATCAATTATTTTACATCCGCTACAGATCAAACAATCTGTTCGAGGTTCCTCGCTAATTTTATCAAAATGTACACAGAAGCTTTTCGTCAATTGAATTATTTTGGCTACTTCGAGTGGCAAGGCCTAAAAATAAATAATTTTATGTTAATAAAAATAAAATATTTCGCATGAGATAAAGACGTGGCAAAAATGTTTAATGAACAGGTTTGTTCCAAGTGGGTAACATCAGTGATGATGTGTACAATGAGCCAAACAAAGTTGGTTTTGGACTGAATATATAGAACGTCACACACGTTTCACTTTTTAGGCAACCTTCATTATATGGCAACCTCGGTAATGAAAAAGGTTAAACGTTAGACTTACTTCCTTGACAACGTGCGTTACTACCTTAGAACATATATAGTCAAGAAGGAGAAATCCTAAACGACCTTGGAATTGCGATGGTATCTAATTTTGACAGTGAACTAGATGAATATGGCGACAATTGTAATAATAAATTCTCATTTGCATATTATCTAAATTTACCGATTTCTCTCATTTTAACGAATTGCTATTTTTTGCGAGAAGTTTGCATTTTTATTATTAACCTTCATTATGTGAATAAATTTTACTTCAAAATCTCATGTAACACCCTGTAGCTCAAAAATTAAGTGAGTTACGACATATGTTGATATTAACTTTTCTTCTTAAAATCACCTAAGGATTCACACCCTTAAGTATCGGCACTCAATTAATAAACACCCTGTATATATTCTAAGGTTACTACGAATCTATTAATATTTATTAATTCTTTCGTTATAACTTTTTATATTTTATTTATTATGCGGACATGTCATTCTGTTTCTTATACTGAATATATATTTACAATTTACAACTTTATTTTATGATGGAATAAACAAACAAAGATCCCACAGCGATCATCTACTGAACGATCTAGGTTTGTTAATTTTGTTTTATTATAAAGCTCTTTATTAGCTTTTTGTTAGACTAAATTATGAGTTTGATTTATCTCAACGATATAAATAATACTTACATAGTCTCTAATAACTGCCGGGGCATATAAAATATTCGGACAATGTATAAATTTGTCAATAAAATTAAAATATGCATCTATTAACTGTCCAGCGTACATGCACGTTTTGTTGGTTTTATAAAAATCATTGTAAACGTACCTCCAAATTGTTGACACAACGATTGAATACTGAAAAATAAAATTGATTTTATATACAAAGTAGCTGATAAGTATGAAACCAAAACGATATTAACTAAATCCAAACGGTTAAACAAACAAGTTTTAAATTTTGGAAGGTTGATTTTTATATTTTGGTGACCTGACACCTAAAATAGTTTCACTCTATTTCGGTCTGCCAGTGTTCTTAGTTCTTCGATGCATTCCCATACCAGCCTCAACGTAACTTTCTGACTCGATATGGCCTTAAGTGCCGCTTGGCTGTCTGACATTATTTGAATATGCTGATTTTCGACAGCTCTTTCATTTTTTGTTTTTGAACATTGCAAAATTGCATATACCTCGGCCTGAAATACCGAGGAATGTATTCCTATAGCATAGTTATGGTTAGTATCAGGGTTTTTGGAGAACACTCCGCAGTCTTAGACCCGTTTGTATACCAGGTTTGTTCCTGTCGTTGGGCATTGGGCTCCCTTATGGTGATCTTCGCTCTTTCCTGTATTAAAACCTCAAATGGAGTATTAAAAGAGTACCTCTTGATTATGTGGTCTGATCTCATGTCTAGGACGTCTCCTGTCACTAACCTTGAGATACTCATGTGACCTGGCCTAATGTCAAGATTTTCCAGTGTATTCCCTAATCTGTAAGCACCTAATCTTGCCTCCCCTTGTATCACATAGTGAAGAGGTGGGAGTCCCAGGGGGGGATATCGCGCATGGTGTCATGGCGGCGCTGACGTCATGCGTAGAGTTTGTAAAGTTGGCGCGAAGAAAATATCACTTGACAGATAGATGTCACAGTAGTTTTTTTAAGTCCATGGTGTACAAATAAAGTCGTTAATGGTAATTTATAAGATTTTTAGAGAATATTTTTATTATATTATGTTGTTAACTTTGTTGTTTGTGTGTGGAATCAGTGAAAAACGTTTATAAAAAATGCGGTGTGCAATTTACGGATGTAAAAGTGACAATCAAAGCAAAGCATTTAAAAAAGAAGTTATGTTTTTTCGCTTTCCTCGACAGAAAGAGGTTTGTCAGAAGTGGGCAGTGGCCTGTGGCCGTGCAGATAAATTTAAAACTGAAAATTCACATGTGTGTTCCAAGCATTTTCAACATTTAGATTATAAGAGAGATCTCAAAGCAGAACTTCTCAATTATGCTGGTTATAAGAATAAGCGACTGTTAAAACCCGATGCTATACCAATATTAAATTTGCCCCTAAAATCAAGATATATTTCATAGCAGCGGTTTTTCCGAACTGAAATATGATAGTTTGGAACATTTAGCAGGGTTTATTTGCAAGACCTTAAACGTAGAACCGTGTTTACATTTCGACACTCCTAGCACTTCATATACATGGACTGATCATCTCTCAGAGGGCGGGTTAATAAAAGCTTCAGATGCCTTTATGATACAAATAAGTAAACTCGAAAAAATATTTAGTGACTTTAATGGAGACTACATAAATCTGGATAAGGCATATATATCAAAATTAATTGAACAATCAACAAATGTAAATTGTTCTTACAAAGTTAAAGAATTATTCTTTAGAAGTCGAATGTTTTTCAAAATTAAAAAACTTAATTCGAATTTGCATAACAAAAATAAAACATTAAAAAGAAAAATGCAAAAAACTGTTACTTAAAATAAATATTTTTTCATGTATGTATTTGCATTTATTTTGCTTCCTAGCGCTTTTACCTATCCCATAATATTATCCTTAGATATTTCATGTAATTTCTAAAAAATTAACTTCTGATATTTCATGAAATTTCTATAAGTTGTGTAGGTATTTCCTCACAGTTCGTCAGTATTTTTAAATTCGCGCCTATTCCAACTCTACGCGTGACGTCATGCGCGTGGCTGTCCTATTTTTGACACTGTTGATATCCTACCTTTTATTTCTTTATACCATGTGGGAGTCCTATTAGTGCTTCCATTGCAGCAGTGGGGGTTATTTTCATTGCCCCCGTTATTCCAAGGCAGGCAAGTCTTTGTACCTTGCTTAGCCTCGTTATTGCTTTCCTTTGCTGTGTCTTTGGCCACCACACCAAAGCTGCGTATGTTATTATCGTCGTATTTGACGTCTTATTACGTATTGCCTACATCTTGGCGCAATAGTTTTAGTCATGTTTTAGTGGTTATGTTACAATATTTACCCAAATTCAGTCCCCAAAGATATTATTTACGAATCTACACTTTACAAAACCATTAACAAATAATGAATATTTTAAAAACCTTGCTTTACTTGGTGATGTGTGCTTAATTTTGAACCTAAATATTTTTACATCGTTGTTAATATTAGTTTGACTCTTTAACAGCAACCTTGCATATGTACAAATCATGAATAATATTAGACATACTTGCAATTTTAAAATTTCCAACATATTTAATAATTTGGCAATGCATTTTATCTCCATGTCGTCTTGGGTGAAAGCTAAAGATATTTCTGCTGACAAAATAAGATTATTAATTTTTTTCTCTAGATGTCTAAATGAGCAGTTTAAGACATCCTCAGCTACTATTTTGAACCGGTGGTTTACTAGACGAACACTTTGACCTACAATGAAAAAAATATATGATTATCTTTCCATTTATCTAAACTGTTTCCAGGTCAAACTTGGGACTATTTCATTATAAGATGTTAGTGTAATGATTTCTACTAGTAATATGAATATTAACAAAAAAGTAGATACCATTAAGAACAGTAGCATACTTAGTTCATGATGAGGGACAAATCTAAATATAGCTTGCAGTATTTCTACTGGCATGTATATAATTGGATTCTTTCTCTTTTTTTCAGTATTTCTAAAAAATGATGTGCATTCTTCTACATTTTTATCCAATTTTCGACGTTTGGACCTAAAATGGCAATATCAAGTTATAGCATAGCATATACAATTTTAATATCAAATTCGGCTTCTATTCAGACCTTACATTAATCACTACCTAGCAAAAAAAAAACAAGAACATAAGTTAAAGAAATACAAATAAAGCACTGCAGCCTGTAGCTTATTGTTCCACCATTTGAAGGTCCTACTACTTTCCCATTCACCTGCTCAATCACCGTTATTCATTCTATGTTGTCAAGAATTGCAGAATTACCAATTACATTCCAAACATAACACCATTCAAAACATTGGTGGAACAGTTTTTTCTTCTACCAAAAAAGTTAGTAGTTACATGTATAAAAGACATTTTTTAGTGTGGAAAGGTATTATCCAACCAACATAGATGGAACGTAATAAAGAAATTTTGACAGCTGTAGAATTTTATCAAAGCCTATATTTGGATATTATTCATTGTCCAAATGTATTTAGCTGCTAATATTTTTAAGCTCACAAGCTCTGGAGTTCACAAGTAGAAAAATGAATTATTAAGATATTATTATTCAAAGGTCTTTTCATCATATCCTTACATTAATAACTACTGATTTTTCATCAATAGTCGAATATAAAAATTGCAAAATATGATTCCCAAAAAATCATTCTGTCGACCAAAAATATTTAAAAAATACCTAATATCTCACCTCATGTAGTAACCTGTATTGAGATTCATTTCCTTTTCACTTTCATCGTTAATTTCCTCGGAATTATCCATTATTTCAGTTATTTTTTTTGTATAAATTCAATTAAAAAAATTTAAAATCATTTTCATTTGAATAAATCGTGTGTCTGAATCTGACAGTTTTTTAGAAGCGTCAATTTTGATAGAATGTATCGTTTATACCACCTGCTGATGTTTTGCTTCAGTGATTGATTGGCGCTAATATCTATGGATATCTAAAATAAATAGAGAGTATAAGCCGATTTATAATGATTAATTGTTTTACCTTGCAGTGATTCATTTGAAAAACGATTACATTGTATACACTAGATATCAGTTTTTAGTTCCACCTTTGGATTCTCAATCAGCCATTCAAAAGTAGCCTAATTATACTTTAATTTGAGTTAATAGTTTTGGAAGATTTGTAAATTTAAATGACGAAAAAGTTCATTCACAAAATAAGTACTTTAATTTTACCTGTTTATTGGTTAGAAATTAGACTATGTTTGTTCATTTATAGTCCATGGAATTGGTACGTTTTGCCTTACATCAAATGAGGTAGTTCTGATTTGGTAGTAATGAGATGGTAATGACAAATCCAAATTTTCCACCTCGAAAGTCCTTCGGATCATTGTTAAATAATAAAAAATTCTTTAAATTTTAGGACTTTTCAGTTTTGTCAATTTTTACCACCAAGGACCTGTGTTACAGCAAAAGTTACAATGCACGCTTTTTAATAAATTTGCATTAAATGAAAAAAAGTATTACTTTTTTTTATAGTTTTCGAAAATTTTCACCCATAAGGAGAGAGTTTATGGAAAAAGTTACTTATTAAGTTATTAAAGTTTACTAAATTCTCAATAAAATGAGACCAATTATGCCAACTTATACCTGATAGTTCCTGAGACACTGCTGTTCAATGCAAAGTTGTTGAGGTAAGTAAACAACTATGTACTAGAATGGTTTGCAAAATGATGTGAAGTGAAGTGAAATAAGCATTATAATTTATTAAAATTAACATTTTTCTATAGCGAAAGTAAAAGTTGGAGAGGCTTTTGGTAGGTAGAGAGGGGGTAAACGTCAAAACACGTCGGACGGCTTCGAGTAATGTTTACCTGCCAGTGTCGTTTCATAGAATAAGTAATTTTAAATTGTTATCGGCGGAACCGGACAATCGCATGTATTTATGGACTATAAATAATTATTAAATATGTATTATAATATTCAAATCATAATGTTACAAAATTTCAACAGCTATTCACAATTTATTAAACTATTTACTCGAAATTGTTATTTACATGTATAAAATAATTTTGTACGCCAATGTATCGCGTCCACTTCGATGAGATCTGCTGCAGACTTGTCAATTTATGTGTGTAAAGCTCCGAGAGGTGTAAAGTGGGAGAACTGGCAAAAGCCTTTCCAACGTTTACTTCTATTCTAATTAAAACACTAATATGAAAAATGTAATGATGTATTTTATGTACAGCACAGTTGGGGAAATAGTTATTACTTGCATTTTTTGTATATTTTTGATGGGCCAGACTAAATCCACAGCACACCTTTTGGGGGCAGCTTGCTAAGGTGGAATTTCTTCATCGAACTGCCCAGAAACGTCGATATCATCATTTGATGGTGTGTCATCAATGAATGGTTTATCAAGGTCGTCACACACCAGGTCTGCAATCTTCTTGCAAGATTGGCCAGTGCAGTGGCTGCAAACAGCCGAGCATTTCAGTCCTGCTTTCCTGCAACTACAAATGCTGATTCAGCCTTTTTGCAGTTACATAAAATCATATTTAGCAGAGCTTGAGGAGCTGAAGCTGCCATCATCTGTTGAGGAACAAGGCTATGTATACTCTGCATCCAGCCCCAATCGAGAGGATTCTTCTCATTTCCCAGCCACTTCTATACCTAAAACAAAATCAACAACAAAATAAGGAACCATGTATAAAGAATGTGATTTGAAGCAGAAATGAATACAAGCACAAAACTTATTCTCACCTCGTGGTATGTTCGGAAAGAGTGAAATCTTGCAGCATCCTTGGTTGGAGGCAATTTCGCGAGGTTCATGTTGCGCTTAACTGCCACCCTAGTGGACAACTGAAAGTGAAGATCGCTAAGATTTTGCGAGTCTCTGTTGCCTCTATAAAGTGAAACAAGGAAAGTTTTTTTATTGTCGATAGAAATTTATTTTTTCCTTGGCCAAAAAAAGGTGCTGATATTTTATCACAACCGGTATACGCGCGAAGAAAGACTGCTATTCCGGTTTGTGATAATTGCGTAAAGAAATTTGTCGAGTAGGTCACATCTGGGTTTTTCCTCTCCCATATTTTACAAATATAATATTGTTATTTGGTTTGTTTGTTGGAAGAATATAATCTCCTTCATCTCGTGAGAAACCACAAAGTGAGACCAACAAATCTATATCCTCGCCGACAATCTTCACTACTTCGTAGGAAGAGGATATGGAAATGGCTGTGGTTACTGTTAACCTATCAGCATTTTCCTCTGTCTGTAGTGTAAGAATTTTGTTCTACTCCAGGTGAACCTTCATCATGTCGATGAGTCTAACTTTATTCTTGTTATTCAATAGAAACTTGTCCTGAGCAACTAAAGCAATGGTTGATTCATCGAATATAACATCAGGAGAGGACGTTGCTAGAGCTCTACGCAGACGTTCAGAGCTCTTGGTATTTTTGTCTGATGCGTACCTTTCGCACCCACGGGGTACTGTCGTTATCATATTAGTTTCAATATCAAATCGGTAACACAGGGTTTTGTTTTATTGTTTCTTCCGTGATATTAGTTACAAATAAAAATAAAATCAAATTCTGTTACAATATTTAATATATATTGTTAAGAGTGAGATTATAGGCCTTTTTGACTGACCCTTAAGCCCACTCTTAGCGGTAACCACGAGTTGTATAGAGGGGCCCAATTTGTATTTAAATTGGCCTCTGGACAACATACGGCTAGGGGGTTAAGTTCAGATGGAACCCTAACTTCCTGACGATGATTCAGAGGGGCAAGGAAAGGGTTTGCCCTACAGGGACTATTCCCTTTGGCAGTATCTCTCTCTTTCTCTCTCTCAGAGATCTGACTAAGCCAGTACCACCGCCTTTGAATGATTGTGAGGTTTCATAAACCAAAAAAATTGAAACAACAAGCGTAAAACAAATAACTATGATTTATTTAACAAATATAGAAACAACTATTATTGTTTCAGCAATTCAGTAGTCTTTACTGACTACACAGAACTAAATATTACTACTCAAAACTATTTACTTACATGAACTTTATATTTTAATCCTTTAGGCTGCAGGGCTGGCTGAGGCACAGGTTACTTTTCCTACTGTGTGCCTTTACAAAAAACTAACCGCGATTTCGCGTGACCGATCCGTGATTCTACTTTCAAACACAAAAAAAAGGAATATACTTTATTCAGTTAAACTCGACCGATCGTCAACGTAGGCCAAAAGGAACTCCCCGAATATCCCACTTGAAAATCTCAATAGTGTTCTTGTTGATCTTTTCGACCATGTAGTTTAATATTATAATTTAATAAAACCTTGTCCAACTACAAGTTTTGTTATTGTATTGAATATTTGTTTTAGCGCGCCTGCACTTGGACAAAACTTTACAAATCATAACATACTTATTTACAGGGTGTTATATTTATTCGTAACAATATTATGTTACACATAAAAGTAAAAACAAAACACACTTTCAGTAAAAATCTACCAGACAACTAAAAAAATTGTAATCCTTTTTTTTTTAAATTTTGAAAACTTACATAATTTTTTCTTACCTCATCAACTTTGAACAGCTGTGCCTCAGGAACTATCAGGTGTAAGTTGACATAATTGATCTCATTTGGTTGGGAAATTAGTGGACTTTAATAACTATATAAAGTAACTTTTCCTATAAACCTACTCCTTAGGGGTAAAAATTGTCGAAAACTAAAAAAACTGTAATACTTCCTTTTTTAAATTTTGCAAACTTTTAAATAGCCGTATCTTAAGAACTATTTGCTCTACCAAAACCAAATTATTCTCATTTAATTGCAAATTTAGTTGACTTAAAAATTATTACAGTAACTTTTGCAGTAACGTAGGTCCTTGGTGGTAAAAATTGACAAAAACGGAAAAAGTTATGCTAAATGACTCTTTTAGAGATAAGAGGGTCTTTATCGTGATAGACAACTGTCAGGCAGCCCTTAAAGCACTGAAAAGGGTAAGAAGTACAATCTAAATTAATACTTGATTACCAACAGTCCCTCCAGGCCCTGACAGAACATAACAAGGTCACCCTTGAATGGGTGCCGGGACATGAGGGAGCAGTGTTTGGAAACGAGAAAGCAGGCCTCCTAGCAAAGAAGGGAGCAGAAAAAACTCTAATTGGACCATAACCCACCTGTGGTATTTCATAACAACATGTTAAACGGGTGTTAACGGAACAATTAAATAGAGAACATCATAGGGTCTGGTTGGAACTTCCTGGATTTAAGTGAGTCTGAGAATGGAGACGGAGAAGTAAGAAACAATTTGCTCTCAAAAAAATTAAGTGTAACTCGATGATCTGCAAGAGCGGACGCAACTAGAGCGCTCTATATATTTTATGATAGCTACCAAAATGCCCTTCAAAACTTAAAAGTAACAGAGTAACAAAGATTCAAGCTACTGGTTTGTGGGCTGCAGTGAACAAACGGGAAACTGGAATTCTTTTAGAAGTGTGGAATAAGTTGCTACCGAAATTTGATAGTGTGAGTAAAACATTACAAAAACAGTCTACAGACGTTTCCTCTTGTCTTTGAAGTGGATGCGGAGAATAATTGTTTTGATCATGTTTATACCTTAATAATAGATTAAAAAATTAATTGTTGGGAAGGGGCGCTTTAAAAGTTTTGGCCCGAGGCGCCGCTGGTGCTTAATCCGGCCCTGATTATTGTATCGTATTAACCTTATGGTTTTCTTTCGACCAAATCAAATTTTTTGTATTTAAAATGATGTCATTTCTGTACTAAAAATCGATAATATGCAATCCTGCCGCAGAGGATAGACAACCAGTTTTACTCCAAAGTTTAAACCAAGGAAGAAATAAAACTATTTTATATTTTATACATTTATTAAAATAAATAACATTTATTTCAATACGTATACTATATATATTTTTTCATTATTTAGATAGGTACTTAAGTTAACGTTAACAGCCACAAAATTACACTGTTTGGTGAGCGATCAGGTATAATTGTTGGAATGTATTCATAATTGATGAATAATAAAGTAAAACGTTTACAAGTTGCAAAGTTATAATATTAAGGAATTAAAATGGTATCAGCTGGTTGAAAGATTAAAATTCATGGGCTTAATAAACTTGGACCAAAGACTAATAAAGTTATGGGATCATTAGCGCTGTTAAGAGATTTAACAAGTCTTGCAACCGTGTGTTTATCTACAACTATTGCATAATATATTCATTGATTCTACTATAATAGCATAATATATCCATTAATTCCATTAAGTACACGATATTCGATAGGTAATTATTACTATTAATTGCTACTGAATTAAATAATAATTACCTACAGTATAATTGAATAATTTTATACAGGGTGATCCAGTTTATATCGTTTCATCAACTGGCTAAAGGTACCTTGTCCAATAAACTATGATCCTTTTTAATATTTAAGATTTTTTTAAATAAGTTTTTATTAATATCTAGAGAAGATTTTGGTCGATTTTAATTAAATTTTCAAAAGTTTGTTGACATCTTCATAAGATATCTTTCAGATATGTTATAGTTGATTTAGTAATTCCAGAGGCGTGCTCACAGAGCACTTCGATTAATTTTTAACGATATAAACTGATGGGTAAAAAAACTTCGGGTCAGAAGACATACAAAGAACTCAAACAGGGACTGGAGGACTGTCCTCTGACACCGAATAATTCAGTGGAATTTGAGTTTATGTCAGAATTTCTGACATGAATCCTAAACAACACGTTTGAAAAAACTGTCCTTTAAAAATTAGAAAAGAGGATCGACACGCTGTATGGTGGAATCTAGACCTTCCTAAAAAAAGAGCAGAAGTTCGTATACACTTTAACCCGTCCAAAAGTTCAAGGAACGGGGAATCCTATAAGGCATACAGGAGAGAATTTGGCTATGCCATTAGGAAAGCCAAAGAAAATTTCTGGAAGAAATTCTGTGACGGCATTGAAAGCCTTTCAGAATGTTCCAGACTCAGGAAAACTCTACAGAGAGATAAGCAAGTATGAATGAGATCTCTGAAAACTCAACTAGGAGAACTCACAAAAACAGAGGAGGAGAATTTAGATTTACTACTAAAGTCACACTTACCTGAATATGAGATTATTCTTGATCAAAAGAACTGGAGTATTGAGGCACCAATTTATAGGGCTTCAAAAACAAACTGGTCTCTTGCAAACTCAATAGTAAATAGAACAAAACTTGTGTGGGTGATAAATTCCTTTTAACCATACAAAACAGCTGGACCTGATGGTATAATCCCGGCACTACAAAAGGGCCAGGAAGTACTGTAGGGACCACTATGTAAACTATTCCGAAGTAGCATAGTACTCGGATATATTCCACAAAGATGGAGGTTGTTTTCATTCCCAAACCCGGGAAAGCTTCTTACGAGGAGACCAAATCTTTTAGACCAATCAGCCTAACATCATTTCTCCTAAAAACATTGGAAAAATTGATCGATAGATATATACGGGATGATGTTCTATGGGATAAACCGATACATCGATACCAGTTTGCCTACCAATCTGAAAAGTCTTGCGATGCAGCCATACATAGGCTAGCTCAAAGAGGCTGAACAAGCAGTGAAAAGCAAAGAAATAGCACTAGGAGTCTTCCTAGATATAGAAGGAGCCTGTGATTCGGCTTCATACAATTCAATACCGGGCACAGGCGTGGAGTAGCCCACTGCATTACGAAGTGAGTTGAGTTCATGCTTAATCATAGAACCATTACCAGTAATCTCCTTAACACAAGAAGTTAACAGAGGATGCCCGCAGGAAGGAGTGTTATTTCCTCTTATGTGGACCTTGGTGGTTGATGACCCCTTATGGGAGTTAGAGAGAAAAAAAACTACACGCAAGCATTTGCAGACAACATAAGCATCGTAGTAAATGGTAAATTTGGGTCTGTTGTATCCGAAAGGATGCAGCGGGCACTAAATATTGTCGAAAGATGGTGCCTAAAAGAGGGATTGTCCACAAACCCGACAAAATCCTCTGTTGTTGCATTCACAAGAAAAAAGAACCTTCAACGAATGAAGGACAAGCTTAATGATAAGCTTAGCTTCTGCAGGCATATAGAAAAAATAACAGAAAAAGCTGTAAGAACACTATGGACCTGTAGATGGATAGTAAGGAACATATGGGGGCTTAAACCAAGTGTAATGCACTGGCTTTACACTATGGTTGTAGCGCCCATCAGACATATTTTTGAATTCATCAAGAAAATCAATCTGATGTGATAGAAACTGTGAAGGGTACAATGAGCCCAAAGCTTCAGCATTAGTGGGCTTTAAACCACGCCCTAATTCAGATAGATAGATGAACCACCCTGTATTGTTACTCAATCGTGATGTCAGATTTAATATTAAATTGGATAGACACAGTAAATTATACAGCAAATTATTACAGGTCAATAGTTGTAGATAAAATATAGTATTAAACCAGCTTGCTCAAATAATGATAAATTCTTCAAAAAGATGATCGAGTAAAAATCAAATAGGGAGTTAGACATTTTGGAATAGGATATTATTAAAAAATATATATAAAAAACTTTCCATGTATTTATACAATTTTTCTTGAAAACCCCAAAAACTTTGTACTGATCGCTTCACCTGCGAAGTGTTATACAAACATTTCATTGAAATTACGTTTATATAAACATTAATTATTATTATAATTGACAAAAAACATTTATACTGGATGGATTTCGTTAAAAATCATCTGAAATCAAATGAAGTGTTCGTTGTGATCCGTAAAAGTAATCGTAGGTGCAGACCTGGGGTTCCTGTGTGCGCAACTGTAGTTCAGCCTTGTAGTGTGATATCTGTACATCTCTGGACACAGCATGTCGAAGCTGCCGTCAACAGTTTCCTAGAATAAAGTAAGTAAATACAAGTATTAGAAAACCGACTTCAAAAACGTGCGGATGGTATCACCACATCTTAACCAAATTTATATGGAACCACCCCTGAGGTACCCCTTTACTAACAAAAAAAAATCATTGAAATCGGACACCGTGTTAAAGAATTATCGCTGAACATACATAAAAAAAATATAGCGACGAATTGAGAACCTCCTCCTTTTTTGAAGTCGGTTAAAAATTAATACTCAGGGTTCCAATAGTTTGTACCAGAGAAGTTAGCTTCTATAATTTGCACCTTTGTGTTTTTTTTTATTATTTTTGAGGTTTGGCTAGGGCTAAGTAATTTTTCCAATGCAGAATTGTCTAACATGCACGAACACATACCCAAGGAGACTGGATAGCAAAATTCAACTCCAGCACAGGAGGCTAAATAAACAAAAAGAAACGAAGATGGATACCGAGGTTCACCTCAAACTAGGCACTAGGCACCAGAGATGCAAGATAATATTTGGTTCTAAAGAAAAAAGGAAATAGGAAGCTAAACAGCAGCCAAGCAAAGTTTTGGCAGGATACACCCTTACTCCAAACCCATCACAAGTCCTTGGACAGCGATGGTAGTTCTGCCTTCACAAGATTTCAAGATCACGACACAACCAGGGATAAGAAAAGCTGCGATGCAACGTTTCTTCTGAAGCAACACCCCGAAAAAGACAAAACCTAGACAGAACTCCAAAGTTCTACCTGAGATAAGCTACAAGGGTACAGCTACAGCTACCTGAAAGTAGCTATAATAGACAAAGATGACCTTTAGTTAGGATTAACTACCGAAAGAGATCCTTGTAAAAAAGACGCTGACGGAAAAGCTGGATTAATCAATTTTGTCCGCCTCCTGTATCAAAAGCAAACCACGAACATTCAGGTCTTGGACACACTCTAGTGAAATCATCAGAGTAACGTTCAACGAAGACCTGATGACCTAGAAACCAAGGTACCAACCTTAAAGACATGGAAAGGAGCAACACTCGCTGTTTATGTTATCTGTGAGATGAATAACAGTGGATTGCAGTTTCTTTAAAAACTGGTTCTATTAACAACAAAAAGAAAGTTTTTAACAATAGCTGTTTACAAACTTTAAAAAATTAAAACAACTTTACTCTTTGAAAGTCTGAAAGCAACAACTTTTCTAAACTAAAGACCAAACTTGTCTTATTGAGAGGTTCTGGAATCATTACTCACGCGGATAAAGCACAGAGGCGTACACTTTTTATTAACTGGGTTCTTAACACTCGCTCCCCAAGCTCACCAAAGCCCCTTCTGAATCGGAAGAGAAGCGCAATCTGACCTTGACGAGAAGGAGGTTGTGCTAAGGTGACTTGAGGGGCAAAAATCTAACTGCGAAATAGTGCACCTTCAACCATGAAATCAAAAAATACCCCAAAGGCCATCTCTTATTCTTCGGCATCGGAGACGAAGACAATAATGAAAATCCTAAAGGTCAAATCGATGAGGATGTGCTTGCTATGCGATAAGTCTGACAAGTTAAGAGAAGCCTATCAATTTAGGGAATGCACAATAGGCCTAGGTGAGGTTTAAATGCTGTGGGACAACCCATACTTCGCATGTTACAGATACAGATAATGTACACACTAAATACCAATAATATTACTCTAGTTGAACTGACCAAAAAAAAGCATGATTACTGTTTTAATCAACTATGGTGGTTGATTATTGGTTAATAGTCAAATATATCAGCATAGAAATTGTTACGAAATCATCCTATACAATTTTGTAATGTATATTGACATTTATAATCATCCTGTAATAAACAATTAATGTATAGTAGTTATGTACGATTTTATTTATGATTGATGTATTGATTTGTTTTATCAAAAAAAGAATAAAAAGTTGTATACAAAGTTCTAATTTGTCTTCGCCTTGATAATATATCTAACGTTATAGGAATGCTATAAAAAAATTTAATTTAATTACCTGACTTTGGATAGGGTTAAACGCCCTTCTAGCTCGTTGATGAAGTTGCACAACTGGACACGTTGATTGGGACAAACATGATTGGCAATTTTCGTACATGTGAAGATCGCTTTCAAGGTTCACTCCAGTTCTCCTTAACAGATCTGGAGTTTTATTACTCAGTCCTAAAATATTTAATTTAACTTTAGTTCAGTAAATAATTTTAAATTCTGTCCTAAATCAACATGAGTACTTTGTACTAATAGATTTTCATCGGACTGATAACTACCCCACTTTGAATTTACCTTGAAGAAAAAATAACCTAAATACAACTTACTTTCTGAACTAATACTGCTAAATAACGATGATCCTACTATTTCTTCTCTGATACGAGCCAATCTTTGAGCTGGATCATCGCCAACAAGCCAATAAGTCTGCATCTCTCCTTTCCCCTAAAAATACAGAACTTATATTATAGTTAAATTCTTTTGGTGACGATTAGTGATTATATTTGTACAAATACACACCTTGATAGGAATTACTCCTCTCTCATCACAGCAATATCCACCCAGTCTTTGAAGTAACATGAACGTAGCATGTGATATGTGAATTTTGAAAGCTTCTCCATAACTTTCCATCCTAGAAGCGGTATTGACAGTGTCTCCGAAGAGGCAGTATCTAGGCATTTTTAGACCAACTACACCAGCAACCACATGCCCTTAAAATAATACAAAGATAAATACAATTTTACTTGGTTGATGTTTAAAGCAAGTGTTCAAAAATAACTAAAAAAACCCTCTTAAGAGTAATGAAATTAGATATCTTAGATAATTCAAAAATTTAATTGCTAAATACTGCTTAGAGAGATTAATATATCTGATATCTGATTGTATACCAAGTCGAAGTTTTTTTTTTGGCATGGGTATATGTGTGATTCAGTCAGTCACCATTCGTCTATAAAAGACGACCCTTATTAACTAAAGAAAGAGAAATATAGAAGAAATACAACAAGGATTTTCACAACAACATTTTTCGTCCAGGAGTTTGTCTGTCAGGATATTTTTAATACAAGAAACCTAGGTATAAAGCAGAGGAAACAGTTCTTTAAATATTTTATCATAATTATTATTTTTTTACTAACCCGAATGTATTCCTATTCTTAATTGAAGTACTTCGCCCTGTCTGTGCTTAATGTCGAATCTCTTAATTTTACTAAGTAAGTGTAGAGCCATAGAAGCAATTTCCCCCGCATGTCTGTCGCCATTCCTTATAGGCAAACCGCTGACTACCATGTAGGCATCACCTATTGTCTCCACCTAAAATGTAAAAATTTTTTAAATCAGTGAATGAGAAATTTTATAAACAAAATTTTCAACCCTAATTTTAGAGCTTTGTATGTATATAATAAAAGTTACTACAGGCGCTTTTTATTTTATATTTATTAGGGGAACTAAGCAAATAAAATATACGAATAATTAACTAGGAAACATTAGTAAAAAACCAACGAAGAACGGACGAGTTTTAATAAAATTACTAAACGCTTTTTTTTGTGGGTAACTTCGATTCCAACTCTATACAGGATAAATTTTAAGTGTATCGAACTTAAATTTGGAAATACTGGTGTATCACAGGGATCAATATTAAGTCCCATACGCATCTTTCATACAGATAATTTTCCAGATATTTTCTTTTATGCTGGCGATATTCATTTATGCATGTTTGTTTCCTTGGATGAAGAGAATCAAGCGATTACTATGCTTTTAATTATGACCTGCATAATATTTATACATTTTCTATAAATTATTTTTCTAAAACTACAGGATACTTGAATAAATTAAGGATTTGATTATTTTTAAAATTCATGACCCCACATTTAAAAGGTTAAATAGGTGTAAAATAATAAAAATTCATTATAAAATTCAAGAGACGTCAAAATGGTGGTTTCCACCTTATCTAGACTGAGGCCAACAAGGGTAAACTTGTAGTATTAGGACGTTGAATTTTCTGGTTTGTCAAGCAATGGCATTACTTAGGTCAAACCATGTAATGATTTTGACAAACCTTGATTTTTAAAACCATTCTATATCGCCTTTTAATTAGGGTTTACAAACTTGTTCTAGCAATTTATCCAATAATAATTGGCCCCTTTAGCTCTTAAGCTTGCTCATGTAAAATATTTAGACTCCTTACTTCGTTTATTTATCTAAAAATATTTGTTTTTTTTTAAATATGTCCATGTAAAATTATATGATCCCTTTACTCACCTTAGATCGATTCATGTAAAAATATTTGCACCCATTGTTGCTTAACGTATAAAAATTTAAAATGGTTTGAAAAAAGCGGCAACATCTTATATACTATGGGCATGTTATCTAAATATTTTTTTTAATTAAGTAATATTGAGAAATTTGAACTGTTAAGGTATAATTTGAAATTTATATACAGAGTATACAAAAATTAACGTATCATACTAATATTTAAATTCCTTATAGGTTTGCAAAACAATTCTGAATAAAATTTTATAAAATGAAATGAATTAAATTCGCATGAATTAAATTCGCATGAATTTCGAAACGTCGGCCGGGCGCGCTCGCTTCGCTCGCCTTCTTCTTTACTGGTTAAGAGGTGAGTGGGAGGAGCGTAGCGTGATCTTATAATGTGGGTGGAAAAAAGGCACGTCGGCCAGGCGCGTTCGCATGGTCTTATGGAGAAACTGTTGCTATGGAAAGGCTTGTCATGCTAACAACTAAACAAATCCCGTAGTAAGAAAATGCTTAGTTGCCAGATTATAGATGGTTTCATTTTCACTTTAGTTTAGATTGAAATATTATGTCAATGGCCATGGCAATAATTTTTACGTAACTGATTTCGGCTAAACGAATTTGACCTCAAATTCCCTTTAGAAATCCCCAAACTTAAATTTAATTTGATATATAATATAATATATATAAAAGATTATCACGGTATTACATCACCACAGTAACCACAAATGTTGTGGTAAGCTTATAAAAAATGCCTTAAAAGTATCCACCGAGTGATGTCACAGTTAACCCAGCACAAATTGAACTAATTCAGCTATCCCCTTGTTGATAGTACTCTTTTAACTTGGCTGGCTAGCGTCATTTATTAAACAAATTCACTTAATTCAAAAAAAGCTTTAAAAACTTTTGGATAACACAAAGTAATTATGTTTCAAAGTTTTCAAAAAGTACATTGTTTATTACTTTATAGACGTAATATTAATATTTGAAAATTATATAAAAATAAATCATCGGGTGTGACCGAAAATAAATTAATATAACTGCTTTTTAAAGTATATGGAAATGTTATGTCAAAAATAAGGTATTTTTTTATATTTCTTTTTTATTGAATTTAATTGGATACTTGGCAACACCGCGTTAATTTGTATTGACAGAGCATCACAGATATAATTCTAAATTTTAATGAATGTTTGGAATGTATGGAATGTAAGACGTTAGGAATGATTGGAATACGTAAAATAAGTGACATAAGAAATGCATGGAAGGATTTTAAGAACATTGATATTAAAGTAGTTAGGATGAATGGAAAACATTTTTTTTTCGTCTGCACGAATGCAATACTGAAGCCCTATAGGAAGGGCGGCCTCAGTAATATCCTAATACTGTAAAAAAACAAATAGTACAAAAGACTAAAAAAAAAAAAATCGAGAAAAAGCAACTGAAATGTTTGAAATACCATTTAAAACAAGTAATTCTGATTAAAAAATATAATTTATAAATAAAGTTTTTACCGCTCAGTATGTGTAAGTAAGTATTTGAGCCTAATTATTTTCATACCTTGTATACGTCATAATGAGATATAATTGAATCAAATAAGGTGTAAAGATCGTTGAGAAGGTCGATGACTTGTAATGGTGTACTGACTGCAGACAGTTCGGTGAATCCGACGATGTCGCTGAAATATATTGTCACGCATTCGAAGGATTCAGCTTCGACTCGTTCACCTTTTTTCAAGGAATCGGCGACTGTTCTAAAACAATGAAATCGGCATTATAAAAATATTAAATATTTGAACCATAGTTATTGTAAGATCAAAAAGAAAAAAAGGAAAACCTAATTATTTAGCAGTTTTTTTCTTTAAAATGTTTTTTTTTAATACAATGGAAATGATTTCAAAATTTTTCGGTATGCAATTATATATCTGAGATAAAAGAGACCAGAGATATAACATACACCGATGTTTAACCTGCGCAAATGTTGCCAATTTCTAAAGAAACGTTAATGGAGTGGGGGAACTGGGCAGAGACCCGAACTCTGTGACAGGGACCGAACTTCGTTTATTAGCATCATAATGAACTATTAGATTTATTTAAAATATATGTTTAATGGAATTTTGTATTATGAAATAAAATTAACGTGATTTTTAATATCAAACATTTTATGTTAAGAGGACTTTTATAGAATATTTCGTTAGCGTTTATTTACTACGGACTTTTCAGCAAGAGACTACAGTAAAATGTTGAAATATAATATTGTTAATAGAGCAAGAAATGGTACTCATTGTCTACGAGTATTGTAAAAAAAGCATGTGTGCAGGCGAATACTGTAAATCAAACCTTGTAAGTTGAACATTTTATTTTTTCTACGGCTATTACATAATATTAAAAATTAGTCAAAATGAGAAAATGCTGTTTTGTATTGTAACCTCAGCTTCTTTCTTTAGGAATATTAATTAATATAGAGGATGAGTCACATAAAACTCTAGAAATGCATATGTCTGAAACCAGATAACATTTTAAAATTTAAACCTATCAAAAGTCATTTGATCCGTAGGGGTGGGCGATTATCGAAATAAATTCTCGATCATTGAAAATAATCGAATATTTTCGATGCATCAATCGATTATTCAAACAATCTATTTTTTTGTCGTATTTCCTTTAAAATCGACTACTTGATTATCTTTGAAAAATCAAAAATAATCGATTAATTAAGAAGCCAATCAACCGATAAATCAGTGTTTACAAAAAATAATAAAAGAATGATCGTTTATTTTAAATAATCGATTGATTTCAAATAATTCATTTTGTTTTTTGTCCATTAAAACAGATTATTCGATAATCTTTGAAAAATCGAAAATAATCGATTAATCAAAAATAATCGATTAATTAAAAAGTCGATTAACTGATAAATCGATTTTCAAAAAAAAAACGAATTATCGATTATTTTCGATCAATCTATTATTATCAATAATTTATTTTTATTGTATTTCCTTTAAAATCGATAATTCGATTATTTTGAAATACCGAAAATAATCGATTATTCCAAAATAATCGCTTAATCGAAAATAACCAATTAATTAAAAAGCCGATTCTACGATAAATCTATTTTCCAAAAAAATAACCGAATTATTGATTATTTTCTAATAATCCTTTTCATATTTCCTTTGAAATTGATTATTCTATTATCTTTGAAAATCGAAAATAATCGATAAATCGAAAATAATCGATTATTAAAAAGCTGATAAATCGATCATTCTAAAAAATAACCGATTATATTCGATCAATCGATTATTTTCATATAATACCTTTGAACCGATTAAACGATAAATCGATTTTTCCAAAAAAAGTGCACGTAAAACGTGATATTTTTATTAAGAACACGCATAACGTAACAATATCTGATATTTTTTGGTAAAGATATTTCCAACTTTTATCGAAGCTCTTTTATAATTCAATAACGCCGTAAAACGAGTAAAAAAATACTTACTTTGGTAACATTCTGTGAAGAAGAGCATCGGTCTTTTTTTTCTCTTCAGTCAACTGATTAGTTCGTTCTTGGACTAATCCTTCCAAATTGTAAGCGTATTTTTCCATTATGGCCAACATATTGTCGAAAATGTTTGGCTTTAAGCCGGCCTAAAAGTTAAAATAATTTACCGAAATATACGATATGTACCAACAATGATTATAAATCAATAATTGACATCAATAGTTTGCGCAGTATGCAATATGTCCCCCTAAGTTGAAATCATATGGAAAACTTTTTTATTATTAATTTTAGGAAAAAAAGTTATTTTTGATAAAAAGGCCTGCATGACCCAAAACTTAAAATTCAGTCATTAGATATCAAATTTTTCAAGCCATACACGAGGTTTGTCAAAAAATATGAATTTTGCTCAAGAGTAAAGTACATTTATTTTTGACAAAATCGAAAATTTTCATTAAGAAAATTGCTAAATTCTTCACAAACATCAAGAAAAGAAAATCGTATCATGTTTATAGAAGAGAAGAGAGAGAAAAAATATGGATTACCGTAATTAAGTGGATCAATTCAATATCTATAAAAAATCTGATAGATCGGTGTAATTGCATATTTTAATGTAAAACTTTACTCTTGAGCAAAATTAGTATTTTTCAACCTTGTATACCACTGAAAAAATTTGATATTTGATAATGCAGAACTTTGTATGAGGACTGCCTTTTTTCCTAAAATGAATAATAAAAAAGTTTTCCATATGATTCCAACTTAGGGGGACATACTGTATAATTTGGTGGTCCTAATAATTTACTGCGCAGAATCTTGATGTCAATGACTAGTTTCTGATCGTTGTTGGAATAGACGAAGAGCATCAAAAAAAAATCCCTTACAGCTTAATTCACAAAGCATTGGTTACCGTTTCTATCTTTCAAGATATACACGTAGGTAACTATTTATAAATGCTTTATTGAATAGGAATATTAATAAGATTAGAGCCACAAAAACCAAAGCTAATAATAACACTGTAATTTAATTAAACAATTACATTTCAGTTTCTTTCAATTTTTGACATTAAGTAAGTTGGCGTATAAAAATGTTTTACCTGCATTTGTTTTAGCCTAACTCTGACATATCTAATATCAGGACGTTGCTCTGGTTCTTCAGTCCAACAAGCTTTTATACATTTAATTATATATTGCGCAGCTCCCAGTTGTTCCAAAGGTGGTCTCAGAGGTACTTCTTGATGTTCTTTTTTTACGCCTTTGATAATTTCTAGAAAAAAAAAATAGTAAAAATATACAATTTTCTTTTATCTTTCTATTATCCTTTATTTCATAGAAAAGAATGTTTTTCACATTACTAGCAATTTTATATTCGATATACAGTGGTCAAATTTGAATTTTTTACAATTTAAAATAATGACAATATAGGTTCTGTGTATAAAGTACTCAAGTACCATTATTGTTCTTGGTTAAAGTATCATTATACTGGTTAATTAGTGATAGTATATCTTGTATATTCTCAAAAAATGTACAAATCGAGAATAAAATATTTGCAGACAATAAGAGCTATGAAATACAGCAGGTATAACGCCTAATGTATTTATTATATTAACATTAGGTGAGTCTAGGTAGGGTTGCCACCTGTCCTTTTTTGAACAGAACAGTCCTTTTTTGAAGCAAAATGTCCTTGTGACTTTTTAAAGCTTAAAATGTCCTTTTTACGGCAAATGTCATCTTTTTGTACGACAAATGTCATTTTTGACCAACAGTCACATACTTTGATTACTATACGGGGCAACATAGGGCGCGGTCATTTTGAATCCTATGAAACAGTTTATAGCTAAAGAATCAGATCGCTCACTCTGCGTCGGAACTTTTTATCTCAATGTTCCAGTTTATACACTGCGCAACTCAGATAATACAATATATGAAAACCGCCTATAATAAAACAGCAGTCTTCTGCGTATCCTGAATTTGTATCCCTGGAGTGGATGTTATTTTGGAACTTTCAACTGGTCCGAGTGAGCTAACTGATTCTTTAGCAATAAAATGTGACTCTAAAAATAATATTTACTGACACTGACAGCAGCAAGCAAAATATCAGGTGCGTTTTAATCATCCGCTTCTGCTTCCGGAATTGTCGGTTCAATCGTTCTAACCTGTCAGATTAAAACAAGAAAACCGACAATTCCGAAACAGAAGCGGATGATTAAAACGCACCTATTAAAAATATTGCGCCAAGATGTAAGCAACACGTAATAAGGGTTCAAAATGGCGGAGTTATCTATCTCCTTTTAAAAGGCACTCAGAAAGCTGCGCAGTGCGACCATTCTCAGTATAGTAAAAGAAAATCAAAGTATGTGCCAACAGTACATATTTTTGGAAGGGAAATGGTTTATACAAAAGTGTATAAGCTGAGGACCTTTTTTGTTTTAGAAGCTCGGCATGACGAGAGGATGGCTTTTTGGATCTTTTTTTTTTTTTTGTTCAGCTCGACGCTTTTTCTTTTGAAGCTCCAAGACGAGGAGGATTTCTTTCGTTCGGACGACCTTTTTTTTAGACGTTAACTAGAAGGATGAGGACTTTTTTATATCAGAGCCCCTCTCGGCATCGTAGTCCTTTTTTCACTGTTCAAAAAGGTGGCAACCCTAGTCTACTGTAAAATATAATATAGTGAAATTATTTAGAAGAAACCACCGTTAAAAAAAAATATGTAGAATACTTTTAATATTTTACTTTATTTCATACAGTGACAACTTTTTATTAATCATTACATGACATTCAACATTTTTTATTTCTATGGTTATTTCTATATAAATTATATATATTTATAATTTATAAAGAAATAAAATACTTAAACCAATCCAATATACCTAATATAATTTCCATGCTTTATCAGAGGTAATCCTTTCGTCAATACATCAGAAGGCATCTCATTTGTAGCCATATATTTTAAATTTTTAAGTTTGACACAAATATAAGAGCGTATAAAATGGTAACGTACGTCTATATGTTTAGTCCGGTTGTGACTAGTTTCCTGAATTACAGATAGCACTTTGGTTATCATTATAAATGGTTATTGCACTACTTGATTCTGAGACAAAGCTCTTGCAATAAATTTTTGAGAAAAACACATTTTTTGCTCTCTCAGAGAAGGCAATGTATTCAGCTTGTGTGCTGGACAATGACACACATCGCTGTTTACGGCTGCTCCAGGAGATTGCTCCATTAGAATATGTAAAAACAAAACCACTAAATGAATGCCTATTTTTAGTAATTTTTATACCCAAACAATATTTTTTTGTCCTAAATCTTGCATTTAAAAGCTACTATTAAGATCAGCTTTTAGTTTTTGTTTTTCAGACAAACTATTTGTAAAAATTAATAAATCATCTACATATAGTGCAATATTAAAATATTGCAAACTCAAAGTTAGTTTGTTTGAAATCAATTAATTTATTATGGATATTAATATTCCATGATCTCGCAGCTTGTTTCAGGCCATAAAGAGCCTTTTGATGCTGCTGTATTTATCTCACATTTTCTGCTTTCTCAATGTATTTCTCTTGGTGGTTTGAATAAAACCAAGTATTTGGTAAAACTAGACTATTTATAAGCAAATACTAGATTTGGAGTGAATAAACTTAGCATGTGCTAGGGCTAGATAGTTCTAGACTTTCTCATGTCTAGCTTTTGCTTAAATATTGAGGTGAATAAAAACTTCAGCTGGTTTTTTCTATAGCTTTCACTTTGTCTAGGTTTTTCTACGATAACAGTTTCAAATTAGTGGTTTCTTTTCAAAAATGGCGGAATTTATGCCCATCCGCAAACGTAAAATTTACAGTGTTCGTAGGGAAATCGGACAGCGCAACTATAAAAAACTCTTCAGATTTGAAAGTCGGAGTATAGACTTTTTAGCGGCTGAATTCCTTCTCGAAACCGATACACGTGGTGGAGGTATTTCTCGAAGGCAACAAATGGAAATATTTTTGAGGTTTGTGAGCGAACCTGGTTTTCAATCGGGTATAGGAGAAGATCTGGGCTTCCACCGTAAAATCGCCAACCAGACTATAAAGTATCTTATGAATCGTATTGTTGATCAATCAGGCAATTGGATCCGTTTCCCGGCTACGGCAGCTGAAATGAACGAGGCAAAGGTTTGGTGGCAAAGAGACTTTCGTTTATCAACTATGATAGGTGTACTTAATTGCACTCATGTTGAAATACTTAAACGAGGACTGGTTCGACATGGAAATGAATATATTTGTCGCAAGGGTTATCCCAGTATTAATGTGCAGGCTACATGTAATGCCCTGGAACAGTTTACAAGTATAAGTGCCGACTGGTCCGGCAGTATTTATGACGAAAGAGTGTAGAGAACGAGCCCCATCAGGGATATCAGGTCCCGTTATAATGGAACTGCTGTCTTTTAAAGGATTTAGGATACAGTGTGTCTCCTTGATTAATAACACCCTACAAGCCTCCTCGTAACCGTCAACAAAGGCGCTTCAACCTAATACATTTTAGGGTGAGAGTGATAATAGAAAAATGTTTTGTTCAGTTAAAGAAGAGATTTCTTATTGTTGGAAACTTTGTTTGAATTGCTTTGAACAACGTTGTGCTGTTCTGCATAACATAGCAAAGCATCTGAACGATGATTTCGACTATGGAGACTTAAATATTAACCCTGATGAAGATAAAAACGAAATGGTTGAGGTTCACTACGAAATTGCTAACACAACCAGGAGAGGCAAAGACAAACGCGCTGTTATGATGCAATTACTCAATATACCATAAACAATCAACATAAAGAGTTTCGACATGAAAGTTTTGAGTATGCCATCCTTTTTGGTAAACTTTGCGCTATTCCTTTATAAAGTCAATTAAATAGAATTCATATATGTGGTTTTATATGAAATACCTAATGTTGTATGTATTATTGGTGTAAAATTAACAGTTAAAATTTTTAGACACTATATACACATATATAAATTCATTTTTATATTAACAAAAAAGCGAAAATGTTTTGTGGGAAATCAAAATTGATATTTATAATTTATATAGCTATAAAGCTAATTGCAGACATTTAAAACTGCATTCTGAATCGGTGAGGTAGAATTTTTAACAACGAAACTGCATCCTGGATACAACGAAACTGCATCCGCGGTGCAAATTTTATTACTATTAAAATTCTACGAAAATTTAACCAGTGTTGTCAAATGTAATTTTTGAAAGTAGTTACTTACCTACAGAGTAAAAGAAACATACAAAAAAGGTACTTTATTGAACCCTTACCAGAAAAATGTTAGAAAATTGGACATGCATATAAAAGAATTGTGAGTCTTTTCATTCGAAATATAATGCTTCCTTTTATGTCAATGTGAATGTTGTTATAAATATGATAACTCAATTTCAAATTGACACATAAAAATGAATATTGTTCTAATCCTAAAAAAACTTGACACTCGAAGTTTAAGAAGAAGAAGATTTCTCGAAGACTTGCTGAGTGATTTAAATCAACATAAAATTAGACTATTAAAATAATTTTGTATAAATTCAGAGCTAAGTGTTAATTATATTTTACAGTTTTAATAAATATTTAAATATGTAGTTGATGTTGAATTATTGCCCATTAGTCAATTTACAAAATACCTAGATTAATTAATATTCTTAAAACTGACTAAATATGAAGAGTACGTTTGTGGAATTTTTAATAAACAACGCAAAAGGTGGCAAAAATAGCTCAATTTTACAGCTAAATTTGCTTAGCCTACGATAAGTGACCCTTACCTTATGGAAATGCAATTTCGTTGTGATCGTTTTCAAATCAGGTAGAAATACCTTTTTTGGGATGCAGTTTTTCTGCCGAGAAGAGAATAAATCAGCAAGCGCTGACTTTTTCGCCACTGTTGAAATTAACCTCTTCATTTAACATCATTAAATTTTAATCAGATTAATGATTATAATAGAATAAAAATCAAATAACCAATATTTATATTACAAAATGTAATTTGTTTTCTCATTAACTCGATCGTATTTTGTCGAGAAGAAATTTCATCCAATTTGTCTTGAGACTCCCACGGGAAAATGGTTGACGATTAATTTCGTGCAAGTATTTTCTGTACACTGTAAAATTAGCTCGTAAATTACAAATTATTACTAAATGAAAAATAAAAGATTTTTTCTGCAAGGACCTTATTTTCCTCTTGAACTTTTATAGTATCTGGTTTGAAACTAGAAAGTTTTCCCGTGTTTCGTAGTCATGGATCTGACCTTAATAATTTGTTATGCTCGAGGGCCGATCTTACTTTGTAATAAAACGAATTTTACTTTAATTTTTTTTTATATAGTCTTAGAATAAAAATAATAGAGTAAACTAAGTAAATAAACAAAACGAATGGCTTCATGAATAATGTAAACGTTTGTTACAAAAGGAAAAAGAAGCGATGGAAGGTCCATTAAAAGAAGAAAAGATGCAAGCAAAAGAAATGAAAATCCTTGTAGAAAAAATTAGAAAATATAGAAAATAAATTTAATAAGAATAAATTTTACGAAAAGTTATAAATGTGAAGAAAGGATATGAGCAAAGGCAACTATTTATTTAGGAAAACAATACAATTTTATTGGGAGATACAGATACAGATAAGAGACAGGAATATTTTTGTGATATATTGGGTTGTGTAAATAAAAGCAAGCATTTGCTAACTTAGCATATGCTAGGCAGTTAAGTGTTTGCTTATTATCGATGTGAATAAACAAGTATTAGAAATTAAAAATTTAAAAAAACCGACTTCAAAAACGTGTAGAAGCCATCACCACATCTTAACCAAATTAATATGGGACCACTCCTGAGGTACCCCCTTACTAACAAAACAAGAATCATTGAAATCGGACACCGTGTTAAAGAATTATCGCTGAACATACAAAAAAAAAATATCGCGACGAATTGAGAACCTCCTCCTTTTTTGAAGTCGGTTAAAAAAGTCTTAAAATCCAGGAAAACACTACACCAAAGCTAGTGCTATCCGGAAAAGTATAAGCAGTAGCTACGGGTAGCATATACTAACCTATAAGCACTTACTAGGTTCACGTCACGACAGACTCCCTTCCCACATACTTTGATTACTATACGAGACAAGAGAGAGGTCCGACACGCCCAACATAGGGCGCGGCCATTTTGAACCCTGTGACACAGTTTACAGCTAAAGAATCAGATCGCTCACTCTGCGTCGGCACTTTTGATCTTAATGTTTCAGTTTATACACTGTGCAACTCGGATAATACAATTTATGACAACCGCCTATAATAAAACAGCAGTCTTCTGCGTATCCTGAGTTTGTATCCCTGGAGTGGATGTTATTTTGGAACTTTCAACTGGTCCGAGTGAGCTAACTGATTCTTTAGCAATAAACTGTGACTTCAAAAATAATATTCACTGACACTGACAACAGCAAGCAAATTATCAGGTGCGTTTTAATCATCCGCTTCTGCTTCCGGAATTGTCGGTTTAGTCGTTTTAACCTGTCAGATTAAAACAAGGGAACCGACAATTCCGAAGCAGAAGCAGATGATTAAAACGCACCTATTAAAAATATTGAGCCAAGATGTAGGCAACACGTAATAAGGGTTCAAAATGGCGGAGTTTTCTATCTCCTTTTAAAAGGCACTCAGAAAGCTGCGCAGTGCGACCATTCTCCGTATAGTAAAAGAAAATCAAAGTATGTTCTCCCTTCCACTAAGCCCTGTGCTCTATGATTTCATGCACTCTGCTCCTGTCATGACAGGTCAGTAAAGTATGTGTTTTGTTGGTCAGTGTTTCAGTTGTATCTACATATATCGGTACTGTCATATCACTATTATCACTTTTATTATCACATACTTTGATTATTTTCTTTTACTATACGGAGAATGGTCGCACTGCGCAGCTTTCTGAGTGCCTTTTAAAAAGAGATAGAAAACTCCGCCATTTTGAACTCTTATTACGTGTTGCCTACATCTTGGCGCAATATTTTTAATGGGTGCATTTTAATCGTCCGCTTCTGCTTCGGAATTGTCGGTTTTCTTGTTTTAATCTGACAGGTTAAAACGACTAAACCGACAATTCCGGAAGCAGAAGCGGATGATTAAAACGCACCTGATATTTTGCTTGCTGCTGTCAGTGTCAGTGAATATTATTTTTGAAGTCACAGTTTATTGCTAAAGAATCAGTTAGCTCACTCGGACCAGTTGAAAGTTCCAAAATAACATCCACTCCAGGGATACAAATTCAGGATACGCAGAAGACTGCTGTTTTATTATAGGCGGTTGTCATATATTGTATTATCCGAGTTGCACAGTGTATAAACTGAAACATTGAGATCCAAAGTGCCGATGCAGAGTGAGCGATCTGATTCTTTAGCTGTAAACTGTGTCACAGGGTTCAAAATGGCCGCGCCCTATGTTGGGCGTGTCGGACCTCTCTCTTGCCTCGTATAGTAATCAAAGTATGTGGATGGCATCCTCAGAGGACGACCATGATAGTAACGACGAGAAAGACAAAAAATTGATCGATCATTGTTTCTAAGATTATTGAAAGACCACATTATATTACTGAATAAATCAAAAACACCGTCCGTGATAAAATCTAAGACAGAAGCATGGTCTACTCTCAGTGCTGAGTATTCTTCTTCAATCGGGAAATTGTTCACTGAAATACAACTAAAGAAAGTATTGCAGAACATAAAAACTACCATAAAAAAGAAGACAGATGTAAAATCTACCGGAAATAAGCTCATTAAATTGGAAAAGTGGGAAAATGAGTTCCTACAACTAATAGACCAAGACAATCCAGTATATCACAAAATTCCAGGAAATATTTCGGTTGGCACTGGCCTATCCACTGCAGGAAATTAAATTGTGCACGATAGTGTTACTGAGCAAAATCTAGAAATGGATACGAATGTCTCTACAAGTAAATCGATTCATGAAGGTGCTGATAGCATGAAACAGAAAATAAGGAAAAGCACAAAGATGGCAGTAAATTACGAAAGTCAAGAAACTATGGACTTGTCCACCACACAACTACAACGAGTTGTATTGTTACAGCAATTCCAAGTTAACAAAATAAGACTGGAGAGAGAGAAAATGCTCTCTCAAAAACAAAAGTACGAATGTTTGGAAAAGTCAACTCAAACTGTTTTAGGATCGGATGACTTGTATCTTATTCAAGATTGGTAAACTGTGGACTTCTTTAATTTCATTTTGTTTTTTTTTTTTTGGTATTGATTGAAGAGTAAAAATAGTTTTGTTTGTTAAAAATAAAATGTTGAAATCTATACTTAAGTTTTTATACCTATTGTGTACCTACTTCTAAATAAATAAAAAATAAAAATTTTCAGTTTTTCAGGGGGGCACTGAAAACGAAACGAATTAAATATCTTAAAGATATCATTGCCTCTTACCTCTTCGATCTAAAGTACTTTTACCCCAAGGACCTTCCCTGCCAATGATTTCATACAGCAATATAGCAAAAGAGTAAACATCTCCTTTCTGACTACCTCTCGGTACTGGCGAAGGATCCCTCAATAATTCAGGAGCTCGGTAAACAAGCCTCCTTAGTTCCTTGTCTTCCCAATTTGGATCATCTTGATTGGCTGAAAATGTTTAAGTATATAAGAAAAGCTACTACAATATAGACAATTAGCTTACCTTTAAATTCATGAAGACCAAAATCTGAGATCTGCAGTACCCATCTGCTATCTATCAAGCAATTACTCGATGTTAAGTTGCCGTGAGACACAATTTCGCTGTCGTGTAGATATATCATCCCCTATATGTACAAAACATTACCTAATTAATTTACAGAACTATTTTTTTAAATACTGTAGTTATAGGTCGTCTAGAGTCTGCTAAATTTGAAGGTATCCTGTTCTTTCGCAAATTTTTTTACATCAAGTAATACACTTGGCATTTTGATAGTTTTGCCAGTAGAGGCATAATAATTCCCGCAGGTTAACATTTTTATTAGAAAGAAATTTGATTTTAATTCACTGAAATTTATTAGGAGGTAAGTATATCACTGGTAATAACTCGTCCTTTATGCCATTTCATCTATATAAATTGCTGAATGTCCTTGGACATGTAGAAGGAATTGAATAAAATAATGTGCAACGGAATTTAGAACGGGATGTTTGGAAAAAGCTGTCAAAACTAAATCAAAACAACTGAAACGAAGGTAACAGTACAACAAGGCTTCTAGATAGATTGGTCCATTAATAAAAAAAGAATTTAACAGTTGGAACAGTTTGATTAGATGTAACACAAAAATTCATGATTGAATTTAAATATACCTCGTATTTGGTCTATGCCTCAAATTATTCATACAAATACTTCATAACAAACCTTTAAAATGTCGGCTACCAACGATGATATAAACATAGTGTCCAAACTCAAATCCTTATTCTTAAGTACGTCTTCCAGACTTCCCCTGGCTGAATACGCTGTTAAAATGGCAACGTTGCCGTGATCCACACAAGCTCCGACAAACGGAATCAGATTTTCGTGTCTGGCTTCTCGAATCTGATATAAAAAAAAGGTTATGTCTCGGGTGTGTAAAATAAAGGTTTATTGTGTTGTGAAAATCCGAAACGAATGTTATAAAACTTATTTTAGTACTGCTGCAGACTTTATTTACTATGTATTTATTGCTAGTTTAAATGTTTACTTCTCCCTACAAAGGATCATAATACCGATAGAATCTGTGTATATTTGGAGTTATCTCTAATCGGGATACAGTTTTGATATGTTATACAAATTTCGTTATATTGAGTATTCCAAAACTATATATTTTAAGGTTAATAAAAAAATCCTACCGCAACTTTTTAACTTTGGAACTTCATTGATTTTTATAATTTTGGTTTTAATTTTATTGCTTTAAATATCAATGTTTTTAAAATGCAATGCATTTATTATGGAGCCTATATCACTGCAAAAAACTACTGATTTCACTATATATGCTTTTCATAAATTATTTAAAATTGTTTAAACGTTTATTAAAAGATTTTATTTGAATAGTAATTTATTATTGTAAGTCAAAGATAACGTACACTGTACAAGATGATGAAGTAACAGATACTTCTTTAACAAACTTAAGACATACCTACGTTAATTTGCATAAACAAACTGTTTGTTGAGATAATTTTTACGAGAGGTACAGTAGAACCCAATAAAGAAACTATCTGCGAAATTAGTGATTAAATATTACAAATTCTAATGTATATGCTATTTATATGTTCCGCAGAACATAATAGTGACAGTTATAAAACCTAAGGATTATCTACTCTTCTGCATGAATTTATTTTATGATATAAGGATCTAAAAGATTTAAAATTGTCACACCTGTTTTAACTCCTTTCTTATCGATCTGGAAAGATCCACCGATCTTTTATGTAGATACTTGATTGCCACAATATTTCCTTTGTACAATCCAATGGTTGTATGTGCTCTCTTTGTAGTTTGTTCTGAAATATCGATACTATTACTTGTAGGTGGCTGGAAGAGGCTGTGTCTACATACTCGTATCTGTAAAACAAAAAAAATAGTTAAAATCAGATTTGCTTCTTGTATTATAGTTGTGATATTGCGAATTATATTGAATATTTTCTAATAGATCTGATGCGATGGTACTATGTCATTTTTATTTTATAAATAAATCTCAGTCATGTACTGAATATAATTTTGAACTGAAAGCCAATTTATTTCTTTTTACATAGTTGCAATACTCATCCTTCTGTCCTTTATTAAAATTATATAAAAAGACGAAGTAAAGAGCTTAAATATTTTACATGAGCAGACTTAAGAGGTAAATTGGCCAATTATTATTGGATAAATTGCTCGAACAAGTTTCTAAACCCTCATCAAAAGGCGATATAGAATGGTTTTAAAAATCAAGGCTTTTAAAAACATTACATGGTTTAACCTAAGTGATGCCAATGCTTCACAAACCAAAAAATTCAACATCCTAATACTACCATCGGCTTTCGGTCTTTCGTTCCAAGTAAAATCATTTCTCGTTTATTTACGCTACGAGTTTACCCTTGCGGGCCTTAGTTTCAATAAGGTGGGAACCACCATTTTAGCGCCTCTCGAGTTATTTTTACAGTCGTTATCAAAATTTGGTTTTCATCTTTCAACAGAAATATGTATCTAAGATTTAAGTATTCTCTTTAATGTGAGTTGCCCCAATGTTCATAAATTATAGACAGATGGTGCTGCATTAGAAAGAAATCTTTTAATGGTTACAAGTTTGGTATGTGCTTTCTTTTAAAGGTATGTTATTTTTAAACCTCTTTATTTGTTTCATCCCGTAAAGTCTGTACGCCACTGTGCTTTTGATAGCATTTTAACAAAATTCAGTCTTAAGCTATACAACTTTCATTTACAAACTCTCTTTTATATGTAATATTAACAATGATAAACGGTGAGTAATTTATTATGAATAAAAATGTACCTATTCATATTTCAATCCTACTTTAGTGACGTAAAAGAGAAATACCAAATGTATTGAAATTAACACTCAAATATTTACCCTAAGTTTAGTTACACCCTATAATATATGTTCTCATTTCCGCACAAAATACAAATAAACGTAAAACATTAATTATTGGCAATGGTAATTTTGAATTTGAGATAAATAGGAAGTAATGATCGAATTCTGCCTCTAAATAAGTGATAAGAGATTGATTCATGTATGTTTTATGTGATTCAAATATGCCGTTTGTTACAATAAATCAATAGGAATGTAGTCCAATCCTCTAGTGGCCTTGTTCTACAATTTGCGCTTTTTCTTTTTCTATTTTTACATTTTCGACTTTATTTTGACCTCTTTTCACGCTTTTATGCATTTTCTGTGTCTTAGTCAGTTTTGAAGTACGTACCTACTTCTTCGTTTTAGTATTGCATTTTAAAGTTTATCTATTTATTAATAATTTAAAAACCGACATACAGAGTGAAAGTTTAACTGGAACAAATTCTGTAACTTAATAAAGGTTTGTAAAAAAATTTCAGAGACATGTACATTTTTTTATTTTCAATATTACTGCTGTGCGATCACCTGAGTCTGGCGTTAGCTACATCAAAAGTGTTACAAAATGAAGAGTGGAAATGCAAAAGGCGTTAGTTGTCAATTTTAACAAAATCGAGTTGTCTGCTGCAAGAGGTTGTATGTGCCAAAGCCACATACTCTGATTTTCTTTTACTATACGGAGAACGGTCGCACTGCGCAGCTTTCTGAGTGCCTTTTAAAAGGAGATAGAAAACTCCGCCATTTTAAACTCTTATTACGTGTTGCCTACATCTTAGCGCAATATTTTTAATAGGTGCGTTTTAATCATCCGCTTCTGCTTCGGAATTGTCGGTTGTCTTGTTTTAATCTGACAGGTTAAAACGACTAAACCGACAATTCCGCAAGCAGAGCGGATGATTAAAACGCACCTGATATTTTGCTTGCAGCTGTCAGTGTCAGTGAATAATATTTTTGGAGTCACAGTTTATTTCTAAAGAATCAGTTAGCTCACTCGGACCAGTTGAAAGTTCCAAAATAACATTCACTCCAGGGATACAAATTCAGGATACGCAGAAGACTGCTGTTTTATTGTAGGCGGTTGTCATATATTGTATTATCCAAGTTGCGCAGTATATAAACTGCAACATTGAGATCAAAAGTGCCGACGCAGAGTGAGCGATCTGATTCTTTAGATACTGTGGAATAGGAATCAAAATGGCCGCGCCCTATGTTGGGCGTGTCGGACTTCTCTCTTGCACCATATAGTAAAGAAAATCAAAGTATGTGGCCAAAGCTAATGTCCTACAAAAAGCGCTAAGTGCCAGAGCTCTATTTAGCAGGTGAAATAAAATTACATAGATGTCGCTAGCGGTATGGGAAAGGGGCTATGTGCCAATATTGAAAATCTGACAATTTGTATTTAACGAAACATGATGTTGTCCGGAATTAGTGAAAATGCTTCGAAAAAACGTAGGGCTAGCGGTACTGGCTCTTATAAACAGGAAAATAAAATTCTCAAGTGGCAACAAACTAGTTCCTGCTAAACCCAAACCAGAAAGTTGACGTAACCTATTTTATTATTAAACATAAATGTGAAATATTTTAACATTGTAGGTGTCCTGTAAATGTTCGTACAATTGTAGAAGCCTTACTTACGAACGGAAATTAGAATTATATGAACGCTTCTATGAAACCGACTCTGCTAAACAGGGTACTTACCTCATGGGTCTGATAAACATAGGGAATATTAAAAGAAGACGACATGGGGCATATGAATCTGCAGAAAGTAGTCGGCGTCAGTGCAGCATATTTTATACTGTGCCTGATGGTTCAGGAAACTTAGTGCTGGTTTGTAAGCGCACATTTTTAAATATATTTGCCATAACCTCTAAAAAGATAGAAATCTTGGTGAAGAAGAAGATGGGTGAAATATTTTTTGTTGACAAGAGCCCTGATCTGAACATCCATAGATTGCATAGGGCTTTCCTTGAAAAATTTCCGGATTCACGCATCACATACAAATATTATCGGCTTGTTTTTTTAAAAGATTTCCCGAACTTGTCATTTCACCGCCCTAGAGTTGATACTTGCAGAACTTGTGATAAATTAAATTGCGAAGTGCAAGCTCAAATTTCAAGTAGTAAAACACCATAAACTCAGCTTGAACTGCACCATAGGAAAGTTGAGAAATCTCTAGCTGCATTAAAAGTAGATACTGTTGTCTCACAAAAACCAGGAAGTATACTTTCTTGCATAACGATGGATCTACAACAAGTTCTGTTTGTGCCTACGTTAACCCATTCAGACATGTTATCTTGTTATAATTTCGGCATTCATCTAAGTGACAGCAACTCAGCATTCATGTGCATGTGGAACGAATCTGTAGGAGGAAGAGGTATTAACGAAATTGCTTCCTATTTGTTGAGAGTGTTGAATATGGGAATAACTGACAAAAAGTTTATTACGATCTGGTGTGACAACTGTGCTGGCCAAAATAAAAACAGAATGGTCCTGTTCGTTATGATCTTTTTGGTCTCTACTACTGGCGTATTCGAAAGCATTGAACAGAAATTTCTCGTAAGTGGCCTGCGATCGTGATTTTGCACTCATAGAAAAAAGAAACGGAACAATGAAGAGTTTTGTACCGAATGATCTGCATGATGTTGTCCGTTCAGCGATATATAGTCCTCCGTTTTCGGTTGTAAATATGGAAGAATTCGGATTTGTTGATATCCAGGCAGCAGCTGACAGCCTTAACATCAGCAAGGCAGTTCATGTAAGAATAGATTCAAACAAACTTGGAAACGTGCTAACGAAAGAGACCTTTGGCGATTTCGAGCAGTGGAAGGAGACCTGTATTTTAAAAAAGGGTAAAAAGGCGTCAGATTTGAAAAACACGGTAATAAAGTTGCTGCCACCTGAAAATAAAATCACAGACAATAAGAAAAAATCCCTCACCTTAATGATAAACTTCCTAAAGAAGAAGGAGCATCAAGACTTCTACAGGAAGATTTTGAACATTGAATAAAATAAATAGGTGCTTAAATAAACATAATGTTAATATTATATGGCTTTGTATAAGTTTCTTTTTCAAAATTACACGTTTTTTTTTATTTTAACGAGCTTAAATGAACATAACATTAATGTTATATGGCTTTCTCTAATATTTTATTTGCTGGCACTTAGACCCTTTCTAAATTTTCGATAGAAAAATTTTTTTTTTGCTATTAATTTTCTTATTTTATTTTAACGACTGTTATCATATTACGCGTCTTTCAGTGCTTCTATAAGATAATGGTTACTTTGTTGCAAGCTGCATTCACAAGAATAAACTTGTTTCTTTCAATATAAACATTTTGTCATTTGGCACTTAGCCCCTTTTGCGTTTCCACTCTTCAAATGTTCGAAATACTTTTTATTATCGATTAGAGTATTATCAGCAACAAGGTGGAGCTTTAAATTAAAAAAATTGGGGGTTGCTGCAACCCCGTGTATAATTAAAATAGAAAAACCTCTTTGTAATATGTCCCATTGAAAATTAAAATTGACATGTTTCAGAAATGTTGCGATAGTTACAGAATTTGTCCACTTAAACTTTCCACTCTGTATAGTAAAATCAAAGCATATATTTTGAACTTTTGTAACTTAATGATTTATTTATATTAGAAAGTTAATTAAAAAAAGATTAAAAAACTACTGAAAGTTGCAGTTATTTCAGCATTGCTGTTATGTTGATGGAAATTTACAAACTAACTTTTAAGTAATTTATAAGAAAATTTAAATTGTTGCAATAAATTACCTTAATTATGACGTTAGATACATTTTAATCGTTTCAGATGAAATTTTCAACTAACTTTAATCAGGTTCGTATATTAAATTGAGTTTGAAAATGTTTGTAGGTATAAGAATTGGAACCACAGAATTAACTGTAAAATTATTAGTTTATAATAAAGGTGAAATATAAAAATATAATTGGTTTAAAAACCAATTTTTCAATTGGTTGTTACTATTGTAGAATGCAGTTCATTGAAATCAATATGATTTTCATATAAAACTGGTTATATCCTGCCGACCTTTATATAAGTAAAGCTGTATTAGTCTCACTTGAGTTAATGAAGTTTCTAGAAGGCTTATTCTACTAAATTTTAAAACGCAACGGTTCACTATAATTTACGTTGTCTACCATGGGCAGATCATTCAGAGCGGTTTCGGAGGTTTACCTATTCTATTAAATATACTTGATAACGAGACAAATGATGCAATAAACGGCACAAATAAAGCAGGTAGGGACTGTCACTCGACTGTCACTCGAAGAGAGTTGAAGGTAGGGGTGACATTTTCACGTAGCAGGATGTCATTTTATAATCTAAAATGGACGTGTTTCGGGATGTTTTATAACTATTCACACTAATTGAGCTACTGAATTTATTCCATTTGGTTGCTACACACTGTATAGTAATTTAGAAAACAAAAATAGTAGAACAGAAACAGATTTGACTCACCATTTTCATGTTCTGGCTTTCAATTTCAGTAGTTTCTGTAGGAATAATGGTCACGTCCTTCATATCAATTTTCCACAATAAACATGCCAATTTTTGCTCGTAACGGTAATGTCTGAAACAAAAAAATTATTATCTACCTTCCCACATTCACTCAAGTAATACCTAAAAAAATATATATATTCAATCCTCCATCCAAAACTTTGAGATTCAATGGAAACCTGATCGCAGTCATTATTTTTTATATAAAAAAAACCGTAGGTATGTTAATTTATTGCTTTTCTGAAATATCTCCGCCTTCAGACAAGAAAGCTCACTTTGAGTCAATTGTTTAAAGTGGAATTTATACAGCTGAGAAAAAATATATATCGATTCATTTTATTAACATAGTAAATATCTTATATTCGCATTGGGTATTGTGAGCAAGTAAATTATATTTCAGAGGAAGATATTTAGAGTTAAACAATATGTATATATATATATATATATATATATATATATATATATATATATATATATATATATATATATATATATATTTAACCTTGCTTCCATATATGGGACTCATCACATTACATTTTGCTTCCCCGACTATAATGATTCCGTATATCGGAAGCAATATAGTTTTTGTCCATTTTCTCTGTTAAAAATGATCATAGCGACTCCTAATAAATAAAGATGATACCGTTGTGTTCTTCTGATTTATATGTTACATTTTTGTATCATTCTTCCACCTCTAACATGCTCAAATGACAATTCCAGAGGAGTCAATATAGTTAGTAAAGTAACAAATAATATACAAAAAAAAGTTCCTAGTTTTTCCGCTAGAGCTCCAAATAATATACATTTACCTATATACGCTCTAGAGTTTACGCACTATATTGATTCCAACTCTTGGCAACGCTGTATTATATTTTTACCTGCTAACGTTTTATTGTTCTCCATGTATTGTGTAGTTTGGATCTGAGATTCACGGCCCTCAGCTCATTTCGGATGTGTTAAGTTTTAAAAAAGTGTTGAATTAATAACAAATAATAATAATTAAGAATAAATAATAATAAATAATAATAAATAATAATAAATAATAATAAATAATAATAAATAATAATAAATAATAATAAATAATAATAAATAATAATAAATAATAATAAATAATAATAAATAATAATAAATAATAATAAATAATAATAAATAATAATAAATAATAATAAATAATAATAAATAATAATAAATAATAATAAATAATAATAAATAATAATAAATAATAATAAATAATAATAAATAATAATAAATAATAATAAATAATAATAAATAATAATAAATAATAATAAATAATAATAAATAATAATAAATAATAATAATATTAATAATAAAAAATAATAATAAATTATGATGGTTGATGAATAATAGGTTAATGGATAATTGGATGATGGATGAGAGATGATGGATGGTGGATGGTGGATGATGGATGATGGACGATGGATGATGGATGATGGATGATGGATGATGGATGATGGATGATGGATGATGGATGATGGATGATGGATGATGGATGATGGATGATGGATGATGGATGATGGATGATGGATGATGGATGATGGATGATGGATGATGGATGATGGATGATGGATGATGGATGATGGATGATGGATGATGGATGATGGATGATGGATGATGGATGATGGATGATGGATGATGGATGATGGATGATGGATGACGAATGATGAATGTTATATGATGGATGATAAGTGGATGTATGATGGATGATTGAATGATGAATGATTGGATGATTGCATAATGGATAATTGGATGATTAATTGACGGACAATTGAAGATGAATGATATGTCATGAGCGATGGATGGTGGATTATGAATGATGATGGATGATTGGCGTTGGAAGATGGCTGATGAAATATGGATAATTGAATGATAGATTATAGGATGATTTATGATGAAGGAAGGATGATGGACGATCGAGGAAGAATGATGGACGATCGAGGAAGAATGATGGATGGATGATGGATTATGATTGATAATTGGATGATTGATAATTGGATGATGGATAATAGTTGATGAATAATTGGTTGATGTATGATGGATGATAAATGATTGATGATGAATGATAAGTGATGGATGATGGATGAGCAATTGTCAATGACGGATGATGGATGTTGACGAAAGACAGATGTTAAATGATGGATGACGGCTGATAGATAATAGATAATGGATAATTAGATGATAGATAATTGGATGATGTAAACTTGGATGATGGATAATGGATGATGAATGATGGATGATGCATGATGGATGAGCGATGGTCAATGATGGATGTTGACGGATGACATATGTTAAATGATGGATGACGGCCGATGGATAGTCAATGATGGATGTTGACGGATGACATATGTTAAATGATGGATAACGGCCGAAGGATAGTAAATGATGGATGATTGGATGATGGATAATTGGATGGTGGATGGTTGGTGGTATATGATTGGGTGAAGGATTATAATGGATGTCGGATGAGATGTTGATGATGGATTATGATGGATGTTGAATGACGGATGTAAAGTGATGGATGACGAATGATGGAGAATAAATAATGGATGATTGGATGATGGATAATTGGATGATGAATGGTTGGTAGTAGATGATTGGATGATGGATTATAATGGATGTCAGATGAGACGATGATGGATGTTGGATGACGGATGTTAAGTGATGAATGACGGATGATGGATAATGGATAATTGTTTGATGGAATATTGACCTGGAATATTGATGGTTGATTAGATGGTAGATGATTGAATGACAGATGATTGATGACGAATAACGAATACCTAACCTGGGCGGCCTGAAGCCATCGTAGTTTGCTTTGAAAAGAACATTACATAAAATTATTAAAATTAAAAAAATTGTAACTAATTTACCTTACTTGTGTGGCCTGGAGCCATATACAGTAACCCGCTATGGCTCCAGGCCGCACAGGTTAGGTAAATTAGTTTAAGGTTTTTTTTTTTAAATTAGAATACTAGCATATTTTGTTATGCGTTAATTAGTCCCACTTTATTTATATTGGTCGCTAATTCTCATGTATTTGTCTCGGCGCAAATTTGTCCCGGGCGAAATTGTTTCGCGCTAAAATAGATCAGTTTATAAAATGTAAGAGAGACGGAGCTACACTTCAAACATTCTCTACGTAGGTGTCGTTGGAACATATCTTGTTCGTTTCGCGCTATTCTGTCTGCGCCATTTTGTCCTGCACTCTTTTATCCTGCGCCATTTTGTGCTGCGCTGTTTTGTCATGGAGCCAATATTCACACTTTTATTACTTTTTAACTAGTTTTGATTATTTTATGTATCTGTTCCACTACGTCAGTGTTATTTGGGAATATTTCAGTTGCAGTTTTTTTTGTTATTCCTGTTCTCAACACATTTAATATTTAATTTAACGTTTTTTTGCATTTAAAAATATCTTAAATAAAAATGTGTTTAATATATTTTATAAGTAAAAAATTAAAATTAGTTTTTATAGAATTAATTTTTAACCGACCTCAAAAAAAGAGGAGGTTCTCAATTCGTCGTAATATTTTTTTTTATTTATGTATGTTCAGCGATAATTCTATAACACGGTGTCCGATTTCAATAAATAATTCTTATTTTGTTAGAAAGGGGGTACTTCAGGGGTGGTCCCATATAAATTTGGTCAAAATTTAATAATTGGGTCCATGAAAAAATCCTCAAATTCTTAATTTTTTATGTATATTTAGCGGTAATTCTTTACCACCTTGTCCGATTTCTATGATTATTTTTTTGTTAGTAAGGGGGTATCTCAGGGGTGATCCCATATAAATTTGCTTAAGATGCGGTTATGGCATCTGCACGATTTTGAAAATTACTTTTAATACTTAAGTTTATTTAATAACAGAGAAACAAAAGTAAAACTCTCAGTAAATATTACAACATAAACATTTGTAATGACTAAAATTAAAACTAATAAAAGTTAATAATTAAAATAAATACTCTGTAAAAGAAAACGATAATAAATTCACTAAAACGAGGTACAATAGATAATAAACTGGAAATTATGATTTGTTTGATGCGACTAAAATGCTAAATTAAAGAAGATACCACACCAAACTTATAGAAACATTATTTCAATCTTGTTTCCTTAATTTTTTTTAAACATTTCCTTATTTTACTATTTAACAAATTTTGGCATGAGTTATTGTTTCTTTAGGGAGACTTGACAACATTGCAGGATGCAGTAAAGTCGTGTTTATAAATATACGGAAGTAATATGGTTGCAAAATGTAATATTATATACTTCCTGGAATCAAAATAGTTAGCGAATTGAAAGGATACAATATAGCTTCATAATGTAAAAAAACGTATATTTATTTTTTAAGATTTCACACTCAAAATTAGGTTCCTTGTATAATTTTTTTAACAGATTCAATATACGCTTTAAAAAATGCGCAAAACAGGTGTTTTCTGCAAGACGCAATAAGTGTGTTTTATGAAAGGAAGCAAAATAGCCGCAAGCTGTATATATATATATATATATATATATATATATATATATATATATATATATATATACAAGGCGAATCATTACCATTGTATAAAGAACTACTAGTAGTATCACCTTATGGAAGTATAATTGGACCCAAATGGATACTGCCAATAGATGACGCTGGTGAATTTGGATCGGAGGGTTTAGATTTTAAGATTTTAGATGATCGAAATTTGCTTATTCTTATATTCTTGCCTAATGTAATTTTTTCTTTGTTATTTTGTTTCCAAGATTGACGGTTGTGCGCTTCTTTACAGGTGTAGGTATTGTGAATCAGCTGTTTATTGGATTATTTTATTGTAAATAAGCGCATTAGGTATACAGTGTGAATAAATTTGAAGATAGTTAAAGTAAGTAAAATGTATTATTTGAAAGTGAACATGAATTAAAATAAATAATACCTATGCAATTAAAAAAATATTAATATTTATGTCGTACTTATCTAGTCTAATTATTTAACTATTCCGTTTATTTATTAATTTATTTATTTTATTTAAACAATGTGTATTTTGATTATTTATTATTCGAGCATAAAAGCA